GGCCTGATTCCCCACATTCCCACAAAGAAGCACCTATTAATACACACCGAGTTCTGATGCGGGCCCAAGGGTGTCCCTATCTACAATTCACGCGCACACACACACACATACATGTATGACAAATATCCCACTGAAAGTCGAGTTACTTACGGAGCGCACACATGTATGACAAACATCCCACAAGTTGATCTCAAACTTCCGGTTTTTTTTAATATATATTTTTCCCAGGTGCTGGACCAGTTCCGGGATCAGTTCGAGCCCTACCACGGCATGTTCGGCTGCGATCTCAGCTCCAGCACGTCCTTCCCGGAGACTTTGATCCGCCTGCCCTTCCGCACCGCGGAATCCGCGAAGATCAGCGAGATCAGCGACACAGCGCCCTTGCCCTGAGGCTTCCAGCTTTCGTCTTACGTTGGCTTTAAGTTTTTTTTATTTTTTTCTATCTTCCCGCGTTGGTTTTAAAGGGAATCTATTACTGCTGGAAATTGGGGAAGTTTGCTTAACAGAACTGGTGAATGTTCCCAAGATTCGTGTTAAAGGGAATATGTAATGTTGACCCCGTATTAGTCTGTAACCCCCCCCCTTGAAGGTTGGAAGGTTTTGGGGGGGCAAGATTTTGGAAGGTTTTTTGCCTTGCCCCCCTAAATAATCTGGAATTGAGTTTCCATTTGATTTAGTATTGCTGGGGCTTCCTTTTGAGATCTGGAATTGAGTTTTCCTTTGAAATAGTATTGCTGGAGCTTCCTTTTGAGATCTGGAATTGAGTTTTCCTTTGAAATAGTATTGCTGGAGCTTCCTTTTGAGATCTGGAATTGAGTTTCCCTTTGATTTAGTATTGCTGGAGCTTCCTTTTGAGATCTGGAATTGAGTTTCCATTTGATTTTGTATTGCTGGAGCTTCCTTTGGGGGGTGGGGCCGATGGACCGCACTAATTAGGGGGGGATTATTAATTGGGGGTGTTAGGGGCCAATGTGGGGTGCTCTTTGAAACCTTCTAAACTTGATTTGTTTAGTAAAGAATTTAATAAGAAATCGACAATCTCAGAACACTTTTTGTTTTTGTGGTTTGGGCAGGCCCAAAAGTATCCACCAAGCTTCAAGATGAGAGTAGGAGGTGGAGATGAGAGCCCTAAGCAAGGCAGCAGCATGAAGAGAAAGGTACCAGAAGAAAGCATGAGCCCATTTGAGACAAAGCACCTTTTCAGCACACCATTCAGAGAAAGCATGGCAAGCAGCATGAGTCGATTCAACATCAGCAGCATCAGCTAGCACCAAAAAACAGTTTACATTGTAATGAGCTCAAGAAGCAGTGGAGAAAATGAGATAGCAGCAGCCATCTGGGGGAGGGACCCGGACCGGACTAATAGGGGGGGATATCTAATACGGGGTCAACATTAGTGCATTTTTCCCACTAGGCTTAAGCAAATGGAGGTTTTTTGTTTGGGGAAGGGTGTCCCTTGAATCCGAGCAACACAAGAGGGTTCCCTGTAAGAGCAACCTTGCGCACTTGTCCAATTCCTTTTTACAGGTAAGGGCGCCCCTTGTTTCTTATTTCCCATGACTCCAGGCTTTCCTCTGAGAAAACTTCCACTACTCCCAAATCGCCCCCAAGGGAAATCAAGGATACTCTCTACATAGCGGTCGTATAGTGGTTGTATACCCCGTGTTTGGGATTAGTGGAAACCATCCAAAGGTTTTCCCAATGTTTTTGAGAATGCGGTTCTTCCACATGAATCTTTTTCCGGAAGCCATCAAAAGTGTTCCGAAACCATCCAAAAGTTGTCCCAACGTTTTTGAGAACGCCTTTCCTTTTTCCCCACATATTGTTTTGTTTTCTCCGGTGCGGCTTAGGTAACGTCGCCGGAAGGCGCCATGGCCTTCCTGAAAGCCTTCCACGCCGCGGCGGCGGAGTGTCTCATCTTTCTGCAGCACGTGCAGAGCATCGAGTTCTGCTGGATCCCGGCGGACGCGAAACCCGGGGCCACGCCCAGCAGCGTCATGCAGATCCAGGCGCCCGGGTTTGAAAGGCAAGCGCTTGGGAATGGAGTTGGGGTACTTTGTTGGAGGGTAAGCCTTTTGAGTCCAAGGGTGGGAATGGATTGGTGTTACTTTTTTTGGAAGGGTACCATTTTTTTTCGGTCCGAGGACCTTGGTTTGAAAGGAAACAAGGGGGGAAACACACAGATGTTGGTTGTCCTTTGTGTTTGGTTGATTGTTTCTTTGAAATGGTTGGCTTCCTCGGTGTCTTTTCAAATACGAGCAGAGGTGTCCACCAACGGAAGCTAGGGATGCGTGTTTTCGAGGGTAGTAGTATCAAGGTGTTTATCTTGACTAAAGTGAATGGGTGTGTATTGTTTAAAGGTTTAAATGAACATGACTGTGTAGGTTTGAGGGTAAGCATCACCATTTTGACCTACTCCAGGTGATGCCACACGGAATCCCCGTGTCCTTGCGCGAAAACCCGCCACTGGAAGTGAGTACGGACGAGCAAGCGCTGCAATACCGCGGACTTTTCTCCTCGAGGACAGTCTCTCAGAGAAACTCGGCTGCGTGTGTCCACTGGTTCGACCTTTGAATCTGCGGCTGTCAAACCTGCAAGGCTTGGGGCAAAGAACTGTTTCCTCATTAACTTGGCTGTTCAACCAACATGTCTTTTTGTTGAACATGATTGTTTCCCCGCCAGCGATCAAACGAGCCTTCCCAGACGTTTCGCAAGGGACCCCTTTGACCCATGCGATGCGAAGCTTGGCGAAACAGCAGTCCCAACCAGAAATCGGTTCGTTTGCCCTCTGGGTTCCTTGCCTGGAGTTGGGCCGACCGCGATATGTACCCGGTTTGTATGAAGGCCGGAGATTGCCAGGCGAGAAGTGCCTTCGACCAACTCGGCTCTCAAAGCTGCACATGTTGTTTTGGAGGATAACTGCTCCTCCTGCAAGGGAATCAACCACCATCATTTGCTTGGACAAATGTGGCTGTGGGTCAAAACCAATGGTACCATTTTGGGGTAGGTGCACCACCCATTTTAGTCTATTTTAGCGGGGATCGGGACGTTCACGATTTGGATTTTGACCCATGGTCATGTCTGTTTCCCCAGCAAGGGAATCGAGCCATGGCTTCTCCAGCAACCGCGGATCAAAGACTTGGCCCGAGGCAAGGAGAAGCAGAGCTTCATCTCGGAGTTGATGGGCCGTCTGGGCATGGCCACCTCCTCTCCCGAGATCCGGCCCTACGTCTCATTCAACCTGGTAATTTCCATTGCGTGGATGCCGCCGCCAGATCTGCAACAGGACGGGGAGATGGAGTTTCTTTCAAACAAAACAGGGGAGGTGTAACTAACTGCTCAAAAGACACCAACTCCCCCAGCTAATCGAAGATCACATTTTCAGGTGCGTTGCTTTACGCACCAACTGATTCTTGGTAAGGGCATAATCAGTCAACAAGTCCCAAGCTGCAGGAGGTTGTTTGTTGGCTAGTTGGTTTGTTTGATTTGTCTGTTTGTTGGTTTGTTTGTTTGCTTGGTTGTTTTCTTTGTTTGCTTGATTTGTTTGTTTGGTTGGTTTCATGTCATCAGCAGTGCCCCGAGTCGAGCTCACCCCACCGACACTGCGGGCAGACAAAACAAGACAAGACAAGTTGTTTGTTTGGCTGACCGTTTGGTGGTTTATTCGTTTATTTTGTTTGTTTGTTTATTTGTTCGTGTTTGTGTTTACGTTTGTGAATGTGACTCTAACTCTCAGCCGCAAGCAGGGGACGAATTTCGAAAGCTTTCCCTTGTCTTTTAGGGGACACATTTTGGTGGTGGAAAGTACTGTAGGGCTTCAAGTCATAAAGCAGTCATCCCAACAACCCGTATTGGCATCACGGGGTCCACAGCCACGGTTGGGGCTGGGAGGTTGCAACCGACTCAGCCGGAGTCATCTTGGGACAGGAGCGTTGCTGCTGAAAAGGGGTTGGTTGAGGAAATTGGTCTTCCAGGTATCATTCCACCGGGCAGATGTAGTATGCACATTTACAGCATGCTAAAGGAGGCTTGATATGGTTGTCACACGAGAAGTTGTGGGTTTGCCATGAATTCAGATGTGGGCTGTTGACGTTTCAGCCACGGCAACACGGGAGTTCACCAGGAAATACATGAAGGCACAGGCTCAGTGAAACAGATGCAGCATGCATCAGCATTGCTATGGTTGTGCCAAGGCTGGCCAAGCAGCAAACAGGACCAAAACCACAGATATCTGTTCAGGTTTACTGTTCCACACACACACACACACATTCGCAGCGCATGGCTGATGTGCTGTCATTGGAAGATGAGCGAGCCCGGTACCACGCCACACGCTTTCGAGAAAAGAGCGCTGCAGCTGTTCTGCATCGCTACGAGCTGCAGAGATCGCAGATGAGCCGGCCGCAACTTGAGCAACATGCCTTTCACGTGGCTTCTTGGCTTGTTGCGCTGCCCAAGGATGAGGTGGTGCAAGATCACAATGGTCTTTCCGTGGTCACCTTGTTTGTACGATACTTGGAGTCTTTGGATGGTCCTGATGACAGGCCAGTCGACACCAGATTAGCTCAGATGTTGTCACGAGTGTCTCAAAACATCCTCTGTTTGTTTGGTGATGATCCAGTGGGAACGCAGCTTCAAAAGCAGATCAGCAAGCATATGCGGCCGCAAGAGCTGGTCTCCGCAGATTGTTCACTTGCTGATGAGAAACGTGCTGAATGTGAGGATGCTGAAGCCAAGGCAGTGCGCTTAATGCAGAGGGCCATCCAAAGATGGCAGAACAGCGACAGCCGAGAGACGTATGACAACAGCTTGGAGCAGGAACTTGCAGAGTCGGAAGACCCTGTCACACTTCGGAGGATTCTGCGCCGCGCCGTGGCTGCCTTGTCACCTCCGCGGTGCAAAGGCAATAGTAATAGTGTGCTTGCTTACAGTTCGTCGCAGAGTGGGCTGCCAGCATCCAAAGATTTGCAGGCTAGGCTGCGGGCACTGGTTCTGGCATGCCTGGACGGCTTGGATTTGACAGATTCGTCATTGGCACCTGCGCTGCTGTGCTTGAAGGCACATGTGCAGAAATTTCAGGAGCTTCTCGAGAATGAGAGCTCAGTGGCCAGCCAAAAGCAGTGGCTTCGATTACAGGCAAAGTGTGCTGTCATCTCAGCTGAGGCATTACCAGGCCTATCTGCTTGTTCTGCAAGCTTGTGTGTGGTTGACAACAAGAGGAAGCGCAAACGGAGAGAGAACAGCTTGGCTTCAGACGGTCAGAAAGAAAAAGGCTCTGGGACAAGGAGATTGCAAAATTGTCCGCACGGCAAGGTTAAATCGGATTGCAGGTACTGTAGTGGATGTCCGCACGGCAGGATTAAGCGAAACTGCACAAAGTGCAATGCGTGCCCACACGGCAGAAGGAAGTGCGAATGCCGATGGTGCACTCCATGTCCACACGGCATGCTGGAGCGACACTGCGCGCAATGCCACCCGTGCCCGCACGGCCACCTGGCTCGCAACTGCCGACTCTGCAGCGCGTGCCAACATGGGCATGTCAATTACAAATGCCGAAAGTGCAAAGTCTTCAAGGGATAGCTGCATAAGAATTGCTGTTCTGCTCGGGGGTTGTCATGGCAGAAGATGATATGTCAGCCGTGCAAAATGATGTGCCTGCGAGACTTTGCACACAAGGGCAAGCAGTGAACTGCAAACACACAGCAGTGGGGGTCATGGCGCATCGCCATTTCTTTTGTCTCTCATGGGTTTGGATTCAGGGGAGGGTCTTTTTGCCGCCTTTTTGTGGAAAAATGATCAACCCCCTCGTAGTGAAGGATTCCTTTTTGAGGGGCTCGCAACTTTTTCTCACCAAAGGTGGCAAAAAAAGACACCCCTAGGTTTGAGAGACCCCGAAAACCCAACCCCCCCCTCCCCCAGGCAGTCGGAGATGCCCTGTTTGGATTTGGGGTGTGTTGGGTTTGCTTCGGTGCTCGGCGCTCGGTCAGGAGTTCAAGACGGAGCCCAGCCGCCAACTCGAGGCGTGGCGGCTTATCCTGCAGCACGACAACCCGGCGGACGAGCGCTGGGCCAGCGCCGTCTCGGAGGCCGCAGGGCTGCAGCCGCAGGAATTTCGGGACCTGGGGGCTCCAAATGGGCGTGTCCAGTGTCAAAAGCGGACCTCCCCCAACATTTTGTGGATTTGCCTTTTGGTTTGCCCTTGACACCACAAGTTTGTGGTTTTGATGCTTTTTAGGTGGCCTCCTAGTGGGTGAATCGGTTCACTCTTTAGCTTGCCCTTGACACCACCAAAACAAAATGGGTCCGCTGAAAAGAAGACGAGCCAGCCACAAAAGGGTACCGACTCTAAAGTGGCCCCTTTAAGATGCAAGCACCTCGAACCCTCTGGATATGTAGGAACAGAGATTCCTCTAATGATGGCTCCATGGGTTCCACGTTTTGCAGGCTGGGATTTGGTGCCAAAAATCAAAGACTTCAAAAGGGACATGAAAAGGGGCCCTTGCGACTAGTTCACAGCCCGACCGCAAATCGCAGCGCCTGTGGTTTTTGGTCAGCCGTTGGCTGTCGGCTACAACCACCGCGTTGATCCCCCATTTAAATGTGGGTGTGTGCTTTTTTAAGGGGGCACCTACTTGTTTGTGCGGTTTCAAGCAAGCCCGACAGGAAAGTCAGTCATTTGGGTGTCCGCATCCTACAAAAGATGAACCCAAATAGGGGTCTAACCTTTTTTCAGCCCCCCCCCCCCAAAAAAAAGGGACATCGTGGTTTTCCTCTTGGCTCCCCCTTTCAAAACACCACTAAACAGGGTCCGGGCGACTCAAACCCCCGCCACCCCTCGGCCATCAGGCCGTAGACCTCGTCCCCTTCGCCGGCCTGGCGCTTTGCCTCTCCCGGCCCCTGCGCCCTGCGGAGCCGAGGAGCGATCCATCGATCCATCGAGCCGAGCCGCGCAGTCGGCGAGCCGCGAGGTCGACTGAGGCGCTAGGTGCCCCAGCAATTGCTGCCAACTTTGACCGTTTCTTTTTTGGGGTTGGGAGGGGCCCCACTTTGACCGTTTCTGTTTTGGGATTTTGGGTTCCCCTACAAAAATCGACTACAGAAGAAAGTTGGTACCCTTATTCTAAACTCTGTACTGGAGGACCTAAGAGGTGGTTTCGTCACGTCGACCGATGGCAAGGGGGAAATTGGAAGGGACAACTTCCCCCTTGCCATGGATGAGTTTTGGGTGCGGATCTTTGGCTGGAAAGAGATTTCTTGAAGTATGGTAGATAATTTTTGAGACCGGGTTTTGAAGTTTGAATATGACTCAGGTGGATGTACATACACCGCTTGCAGCACCCTTGCATGAATGACCCCAGGCTTGCTGTTTATACTCCTATCCCATAAAGGAGCACATGCCCAATTTGCGAATCCAGCTTCAAAGTGGGAGGGGAAATAGGGAACAAAGACAAAGGGGTGTGAAAAAGGTGTACTTCCACGAACTCTGACGCTGAGATAGTTCCAAGGGAAGCTTGAGTGGAAGTTTGACAAATCTTTGTGTATTTGAGAATTATCATGTTAAGACTGGTGAAGCCTAAGTGAGAGAAACTTGCTCCAGGAAGGGCTTGAATCGCGGCAACCGGAATAGGAACATCTTCCTGGCCTGAAGTTGTTTGGTCTCACGTTTCAGCAGGGGTGAGAAACCTGAATGAGGGGAACCAGAGCAATCATGTGACGCAAGAATCTAAACAGGGGGCTTTCTGAGTCCACACACACACACACACCCCATCCTGAGAAGAAATCTGTTTGAACAAGTTGCATATCTTGAATCGCCCAAACCTCTTCATTGTTGCTTATTGTGGTTTAGCGGGAACTCTTCTAGGGTTTGGATCAGATTCGTTTGGGCTTCAGATTGTGGTGGCCCCCAAAATCCATATAGACTTATTTTCAACACACCCCACGTACTTGGGTTGGGTTCTCCCGTTTCACCTAGCCTCCGGGGCCTTCCGTTGTCAGGCATGTTTTAATGGTTCACCCGAGGCTCAGAGGGGTGTGCTCACGCTGTCTACTCGGTGTTTCCCCGGAGTTTCTGACATCGCCCGGTGGATTCTCCTGGGTTCCATTGGCCATATGTGTCTAGGGACATGAACACATGGACATCCCACATCCCACATGTCCGGTGGTCCTTTTGGTTTCACACAAAAACCAACCTTGAATGGGCCTTAAATGGGCACCAAGCCCGGAAAAAGATCAGGTATATATACATATCCATCGCTGTTGGTGTATTTCTGAGGGCAGCAACCCCGGTTCCATCAAGTTCCAATTGCAATACTGCACCCCCGGATTTGATCATACTTATCTATCGAAGGCTTCCACAAGTGAAAGGTTTGTTTGACAAGCAAACCTCAAACAGGGTAATTACACTGTATTTGGTATTTAAAACAAGTAAATCAAGAGAACATACCCCCACACACACACACACACCCAGCCGCACACATTAGCGTGTCACACACACACACACACGCTCACACTCCCAGCCACACACTTGGGCATGTTTGTTTTAGGGGACCCTCCAAAATGGCCAAACGGTTTTCTTCCTTTAGTTTCCCCAGCAAAACAGGGATACCCTTCGCCTCAAAAACCATGGCAGGCTCATTTGGATGAATGGAACTCGAGGATCATTCCAAAACAATCAGCTAGCCCCCCAAAACAAAAGCAAGACATAAATCCACAGAAAGCATCAAAGGCCACAGAACAAAATCACACAGCCATCCCAGCCGATGCAGATGCCAGCCGCACACACACACACACACCTCCCCAGCTCGCTTCGAGTGAGAGGATCAGCTGCTTCCTGCCGCTGCCCATCCGCAGCTCGTTGCCCTTTCTGATCAACGCCAACTTCTGCCTGCGGGACCCGTCCTCCCCGGACCGCCTGGACCTGGCGCGCCGCCCGGCGGAGCTTTGCCGAGCCGCGCGTTTCGTTCGCCGGGGTGTTTCGTTCGCCGGGCCGGGCGTGGCGTGGCGTTTGACCGTGTGGAGCAACCAAAAACGAAGAGGTGGAGGTTTTCACGGGGAAACCCAAAAGGGAAAAGCCGAAGAAGGTAAAGCTTGGTTTCATGCGCACAGGTACAAGGTTTCACCTGAAACTAACAGGGGCCCCGCTGGGGTGGTGCAATTTTTTGGGTCCAGCCCACTGAGGACAAGGCGAGAAGTCCGATTGGAACCTGCTGCTGCTGCGGAACATCGTGGAGCCCTTGATCTGCAGTCTCATCCAGGACCTGAGAGGGAAACACATCAAGGGCCACCAAGATAGAAAGGCACATACCCTCCCAACTAATACGGAAGTGCACAAAACAGGTCCCTTTCCAAGAGGAAAGTCGTTTTTCTACAGGGGTCTGTGCACTTCCATGTTGGTCGCTGGGAGGGTACAATGGGAGGGTACGCTGGGAGTTAACAACTGGGTTTCCTCGGCGCGTCTTTCTTTTTAGCTTTGTTTGAGCGGCCATTTGCCTTGTTGGTCGCCACGTACCTTTTTCTGGATTGTGTTTCATTGCAAGAAGGAGCGGCTTAGGTGGAAAACAGGAACTAGAAATGAGTTTGTTCCTTGAGGGTACTCCATTTGAGGTTGGATTGAATAGAAGAAATATTAGCCACATGTTCGGAGTTGCTTTTTCTTTCGACACATACCCAAATGGACTTGGAATTCCTACGTTCGAACGCAACCCACTCCAACGCTGTTGCTTTTTCCATCGCAGCCCAACTCCACCCGCTTGCACGCAGCAAGCGCCCGCTCCGCAGCCAGAGAAAGAAAGACATTGCGAGGAACCTCAACTGGAAGTTGTACGGAATTGGAAGCAATTAAAGCTTTGGTGCATGTTGCTTGGCTGTTAGGACTAACTTTTTGCCAACTAATGAAACCACTAAAAGTTAAACACGCAGGGGAGCAGAAAGCAACCGAGAAAGCACAATGAAAGGAATTTAAAGGAAATCGAAAGGAGACTGAAAGGAGTTCCTGGAATCGAAAGGAATTGGCGAGAGGATTGAAAGGAAAATACCAGGGAATCGAAAGGGCGAAAGGACATGGAAAGGAAACGGACTTTAAATGGAAGTTGCAAGGAATTGAAAGGACATTGGAAGAAAACAAAAAGGAAATTGAAAGGAGTCTGAAAGGAAACTGCACGGAATTGCAAGGACAAGGGAAGGACATTAACAGATTTTGAAAAGCATTCCTAAAAGGAGTTGAACTAAAATTGAGCAAAATTGAAAGGAAATGGAAAGAAATCGAAAGGCACTGGAAAGAGTTGAAAGGACATGAAAAGAGATTGAATGGAACTTGAAAGGAATTTCAAAGGACATGGAGTTGACAGAAATTGACACATGGAAGAAACTGAAAGGAATATAGAATAAAGGATTTGAATTGAAAGAAGGCTGACAGGAATTGAAAGGACATAGAAAGGAACGTGAAAACAAATCCACGGAGTTGAAACTACGTCAAAGAGAGTTGAAGAAACACTGAAAGGGAATGGACAGGGAGTTGAAAGGAAACTGAAGGGACTTCAAAGAGATGGGTGTGTGGTTTAAAGGAAGTGTTCATATTTTCAACAAAACTAAAAAGGACATGGGAAAAATGCAAGGAACCGGAAAGGAATGCAATGGAATTGAATGGACATTTCACGGCAATTGGAGTGGAGATCAAATGGAAGCGGAAGGGACTTTAGAACATAATTTGATTGACAACTGAACAGATCGAAAGGAACCTGCTAAGGGATATAAATTACATGGACAAGGAGTTGAAAACAACTGTACGGAATTGAGAGGACAACGACTGAGAGGAATTGCAAGGACTTTGAAAGGACTTTGAAAAGACCCACCATGTTTTTTGCGGAAGCAACTTGCCCAGCATCTTTTGGCGACAGATTTTGGAGCACCGAGCCATTTGGCGGATGCCGCGCGAGGAGCAGGCGGCGGCGGTGCAGGGCTTCAGGTCCCAAGCCGCGGGGCCCACCGCGAAGCGCGAGGCGATCGATGCGATTCGCCCGGGCGGGGGGGGGGTGGGGGGGGGTTGGGGGGGTTGGGGGGGTTGGGGGTTAGGGGGGAGGGTTGGGGGCGGGGGGGTTGGGGGGTTGGGGGGGGAGGATCGAGGCGCGGGTTGGCTTTTTTTTGGGGGGAATGGGATGGGTGGGTGTCGAAAAAGGGCCGGTGGACACTGACAAAAACGTGTTCATGCTTGTTTTTGTTTGTTGTTTTTGGATGTTTTGTCGTCGTTCGAAACCGACCTGAAAAGGGTACCCTAGATTTGGAGGTTGAATGGGTGAACAGGGGGATTGGCCTCTTTTTGGTTCTTTGCACAATAGACTCTAGATGTCCTTTAAACCCAGCAGACCTTGGGGTGTATGTTGGGGGAGTGGGGGAGGCTTGGATCCTATGATTCGGACACGCGTCCCAAAATGGGCTCGGATCTTTTGGCGTGCTTGGTTTCCTCGCCGGATTCAAGTCGTTCAGTGTGTTTCGTTGGGTGTCCGCTTGTCGTCCTTTGGGTTTCCCGTTGAGGGGTGCGGTGTCCGGAAGTGGGTTCTCGTGGGCCCCTGGTTCATGATGACGACCAAAAGCACAGGAAACCCGCAGGGAAACCAGACATAATAGACTGGGAAGCCTCAATTCATGCAAGGGATTAAAGCTTTTTGTTTCAAACGACTTTTCACAAAACGTGCCCATTTGGCTCTGTTATATTTGGAGAACCCATTTTGGTTGGGGTGAAAGGGAAGCCACAAGCAAGCCACAACTTTTCGGCTCTTCGCTATGAGATTCCGTTTTTGCCGGCGAAGATGCGGGCGGGATTCCTCGGGCTTCCTCGGCCATTTTTGCTGCGCCAGGCGGCGGTTTGGGCAGATGGGATTTGCTGCCTCATGCCTTGCAAGCCGCAGCTGCCGCAGAGCTTGCGGCATGGCCAGACTTAACTGCAAGGTATGTTTTCTTCCCGCGTACTCTTTGGGTTTTGGATCACCACCTTTAATGGTGACAACTGATTACCCCCTCTCAAGGTTGACAAGGTTTGGACAAATGAGATTTTTGGGAGGACCCCCCTGATTACTCTGGAGCCCCTTCGGTCCTCGTCCTCTTACTTCTGGTCCCTTCGGGGCAGTAGGACTTCAAAAGGCAACATCATATTTTTGGGGGGTTTGAGCCCAAAAGGGCCCTGATTAATCGCGGGGGGTTTTCTGTTAATGAGGGGGGACTGGCCTCCAAGGGGGGTCCCCTTTGTGAGCTTGAAAACCTTGTCATTTTAAGCAAATTTTAAGAAGGAAAAATGCATTTCGGGGGAAGCACATTTTTTGGGAAAACTTGAGGGGTTCAATAGTGACTTAGTATTGGTGGTTTTAAGCACAGACTCAGCAACTACCAAGCAAGAAGGAAAGCACCTTTCTAGCAGGTTTTGTTGGCTTGGGGGCTGCAGAGGGATACCTTTAATCAGGGGGGTTTTGGGGAGGGCTCAAAAATTATTGGGTAGTTTTTTGTTTTTTCTTAAACAAAAAATATTGTTGGCCCTTTACTTTAGTGTTGGTTGGAACCTGGGGGGGAAAAGGGGAAACCGTTCATCGGGGGGTTTACTAATCGTCTCCTGACATTATAGACATTTCGTTCCTGATCAACAACTGGTCACTTGGCTTTTGGTTCAACTGCCGCTTTTCGTGGCAAACCAAGGCAACCAGTTCACTTTTTGCAGGTCCATCTCGTCCGAGGCAAGAGCTCTTGAATTTGCCGTCCATCTACCAGTCGCTCGCAACAGCGCCGCTCTTCCCGGCCCTGCCCGTGGCTCGCTCGGCGTTTTGCCCCCCCCCCCCCCCCCCCCACCCCCCCCGAAGACCAAGGTTTGGGATATGAGTATGCAGGCTCCTTATTTGTTGACTACCTCGGGGTAGACTTAAACCCAGGGGTGTCCCTTTTGGGGAATCCACCGCCCCTGGGTTGAAGTCTGCCTTGTAGAAAACGGGGCCCTGAGTATGTGTCAAAATCCCACTCCCAGAGGTGCGGACCGGTTGAGACAAGTTGAGACTTGTCCTGGCCAATCCACTTAGGAGCTCAACCATTGTGTGGCTTGCAACCTGTTGGTTTTCCTTGGAGCCAATGTGAAGAGGTACCCTCAAATATAAATATATATATATATGTATATATAATATATAGAGTCATTTGCGGAGCAACAGCTGGATTTCCGTGGTAACTTCATGCTGTTTTGGGGTTCATGCATCATACCCTAAAATAAGTTTGTAGTTGGAGGGTATGTTTTTAGCCTCTTCGGTTGAACACACAGATTTCCTACGCCAGCGCGCGGGTGTACCCAAGGGAAGCTCCTGTTTATTCCGGTTAGTTTATCGGCTTGGATTGGGGGCTTGGGGGTTGAACCCCTGGTTACGGGCAAGTGGGAACCCATCCAACCTCCACACCTCCAAACCACCGATCCGGCTCCATTTCACCAATTGGAAGCTAGCTGATTGGTCCATTTACCTTTGCTTCTGTGATCCATGCGATTTCGACTGGGAGGAATCGCCTCCCCAGATCTTCGTTTTTGCCATGCCCCCCTACCAAAAATGATTCCTGGGTGCCAGCTCAACCTTGGAACAATTGGTGTTGAAACATGTTGCTGCCGGTTTGGATTGTCAATTACTTTCGGAGGTTAGAAACCAGGTTACAACACCATGAGGAACATTTTGAGGATGTCACTTTAATTATGACTAGCCCAACGTTCAAGTGGAACAAACACCAAAATGTGGAGCGTCCCTTTTGATATCCCTAGACCCTGGCGCGTTTCAGGGAAGTCTAGGCGGTCTTTGGGGAGGGTTCATGACCTCAACTAGGGCGTATGCTGGGGCATAGAACCCCCCCATGTCAGGTCGGCGAGCGGCGGGACTTGGCTGCGCTGCTGGACGTCGCGCGCAGCTCGTTGCTCTCCTTCGCGGACTCCGTGCAGCCGCTGGGAGAGGCGATCCGGCGCGATCGAGCGGATGGGTGGCGATGGTGAGAAAGGAGGTGTGAAGCCCCACGAAGCCAGAAACATGGGCACCATGGTGTACCAGAAAGGAGGGATACCAAGGTTTTACCGTTTGCCCCAGAGTAAAATGGTGAGTTAGAGTCAAACCTGGGAAAATGACGATTGGTACAGCCCTTTGGTAACAGGTTTGCATCATGACACAAGTGTTTGCCAGGGAAAGCCGGGTATGAGGTGAACATGTGTCAACCAAATCAGGATTGATCCGCATGGCGGAAAAATGGTTACTTGGGATGGGCAGAACCCATTCCGGACACCGCTCAAGTGGGTTATCCGAGTATTCACAGGGAATCTTGCCAGTCCAAGAACATTGGGCGCAAAAAGCTCAACCAAAATCGAGTGGGTCTTTGGATCACCCTCAAAGCAACCCACAAAAAAGATGGAAAACCAGACGTAAGTAACATTGCGGGCAATATCTCAGTGTCGGGTTTGAGGGGTTGAGGTAGAGCGTACATAACATACAACAACAAGTGCACATAGCATACATGCACGGTTATATATATATATATGTAGACATATTATAAATATGTTTTATCGTGCATGTATACTATATGTTTAGGTACATGCATATACACATATACATACACATGCACATATATATATATATATGTATACAAATACATATATATATATATATACATACTTGTATAGATGTGTGTTTGCTGCTCATCAAGGCCTGTGGTTTTCCCCCCAACCACTGCCGGATCGAGCGAGTCCCAGGTGGCCAGCGAGGCGCAAAGGCAAGCCGTGCACGAGTTCTTGGGCCAGCTTACCTCGGAAGGCATCGGGGGTCGCTTTCGCCCCAGGTTTTGGTTGGAAAGTGACAGGCTGTCCCAGCCTTGGTCGGGCCTTGTTTTTTTTTTTTTGTTGTCTCTTTTTTCTCCGGGATTGGGTTGGAAGCGACTTTTTGGACCCCTCCAAAAGTGGCGATTTCAACGCAAACCACCAGTGGGGAGGTTCAAGATGGAACTCAAACAGAGAAGCCCACTGACCCTCAACTGATCAAGGGGCGTTTTTTTGACTTCCTCTTTGATGCTCCGTGATATCCCTGGGAGGCTTCAGTCCCGAAAGCACAACTAGGCAGCATGGGTTTAAGTGTGGCAGGGTTACTGTGAGTCTCAAAATGACCAAACCACAAGGGCAACTACCCTTGACAGCTTGGTCGCAACCCGAGTTGTTCAGTTGCACCCTCTACTTTCTTTTTTTTTGCCTGGTGGGTTGCCACTAAAAGTTAGGCCCTACAAACTTCCGCGTTTCCCGACCCCTTTCGGCCAAAAATGCTCCGGGCCGGCACGGAGCTCCAGGGGCCACCAGCAAGAAGCTCCTCTGGCTTGGCTTGTCCTCAGCTTCTCCCTCAAAGGCCCCCCAAAAACAGAGAGGCTCTGCCTGGGCTTATCCCTTCCCCGGTCCAAACTGAGAACTGGAAACCAACAGGGAAACCGTCATTCCATGTTTGAAGGAAAAATGGCGGACTCCATTTTCTGGGGCGCATTTGTCGTTCTTTCCTGGGGGACCCAAGAAAAGTGCCTCACTGAGTTCTGAATCATCCAGCTTCAGGAATTCTTTGATTTGAAGCCGATCAGAGCCACCCAGAAACCTCCAAAGTGAGAAACATCTCTCGGAGCTCAGGCGGGCGCGCCTTTCTCTTCTGCTGCGTCACCCAGCCCGTGGCCGCTGAGTTTGCCGCGGCTCAGGCGGGGTGGACATCTCATCGCAGCGGTTCGGGCACGAACGGGCGTCTCGTTTTTGGAGGGTGCAACTGTTTCACACTTGGCACCGGACGCCGAACAGGACATGCCATAGTTTGGGTGTGTGTTGTTTGTTTAGGAACCCTGAAAAGTGTGGGCTTCACTTTGGGTTCCAACAAGTCCAACATCGACAAGGGTATAGACGACGGGTGTCCCGAAAGCATTTAACTGCGCGAAGCACGTTGTGCGTTTTATTTGGAGCTTGGACCCACCCGTGTTTTAGACAAACTAGCAGCGCGCGCTGCAAACACACCATGCTGTTTGTGTTTTCTTTGCACAAGTCTGTCTCAATGCGCTCTGTGCATATCAGCGGAATCTTTCTACAAGTCGTTTGCGTATGTGTCTTCTTGGGAAAACTGTCGTTGCAACTTTCTGCAACCTGCCAATCCGCAATACTTGCGCGCGTAGGCACATTAAACTACATTGGGATTCTTTGGGGCGGGAGCTATGCGATTGGAGCCCTTTGTTCAAGATGTTCGAGCCGGAGCTGGGACCCCTGACTCTGCACACTTCGCCTTGCGCTTCGGAGTGGACCAGGGGGGATTCGAGCGGAGCCTCGCGCAAACTCTTGGGCGTTCCGAGCTTCGCAAATTAAACAAGCAGCCCCACCAGTGTGGACTAGCTCAACTGCCTCAAAGGTGGCGAGGAAGCATGAACCCCCTGAATGATGCGAAGGGTCACTAGTTGAAACTCCAGGCCCAGATGTTGAGTTGGATTCCTTGCGTGGATGACGAGCACTCGTGACAAGATTCAGGTCCAGCGCAAGGCTGTGGTCAGCCGAAATCTGGTGCTGTCCTGTTTGGAGCAGCACAAAGACCGAGCCTTGGATTGACCGAGCCTGGTTTCATGAAGTGTTTGGATTGATGTAGACTAGGGCATGCCTAGGTATAAATAAATAAATATATATATATATACTGTATATATATGTTAGATGAATAGATGTATGTTTGTTCAAGCAATAGTGGTTTAAGCCATGGTTTTAGCAGACGGGTTTCGTTCGCACGGGTGTTTCAACCATGATTTGAACAACGGTTGTTCTATCTTCCTTCTCTTGGTTTTCGTTCAAGGGCGCCTTGTTAAGACCATGCGTTTGACCGCCTAGAAATGAACTTCCGCTTTTTGGACTCCATGTTAATCATAACTTCAAACAGTCGGTCAGTTCAATCCATGGTTTGAACAAACGAGCTTTATTTACCCAGCGGCTTGAACGATCTACTTACTCGAAAGGAAGTGCCCTTTGATTAGTTGACCGCCCCAACCAATTCGCGTGCTTTCTTTTGGTTTTCCTGTTACCCAACCATAACCACCCCCAACTTTTGGTTTCGGTTTCCCTTTGCACAAACCCGAAAGGGTGCCCTCATAAAGGCCCACCCAAATGCTGTCCAAACCTCACCACTTCAAAGGGGTTCATACCAACCTATTTCTTGAAAGTGGAATAAACCCATGCGAAGTGCCCGGTCGTCTGCTTCTTTCCGAGGCGCCGCTGGTTTGAGTGCCGCGCAGAGTGCTCAGCTCCTGGGCTTCGTGCTGCAAGACGTGGACCTCGCGCCCAAGCTGCAGAACCTCCCGCTGGCGCCCCTGTGCCACGGCCGAACTGGAGAACCCATTTGCGGCGGGGTCGTCTTTATTTTTAATATATATATATATATATAAATACAGATATATACATATAAATACATATATATATATATATATATGCATGTTCATTCCCCCACAGATCAACAAGGTGGGTTTTGGAAGGGGGGTAGCATATGTATATATATATATATACATATATATATATATATATATATTGATTTTGTTGTGTTTTGTTTGTTTTTGTTGCCTTTGTTGTCAAAGCTTGAAGGAACAAACAAAAAGCAATCAACATAGCCCCCCCAGTGTGTCGGTTTCGTTGAAAGCTTAAAAGGGGTTAACCAAAAGAAGGCAGGCAAAATAGGAGTAAAACCCCGTTTGGACATGGCCAGATGACTTGACTCACTGTTTTTGTTGATAGGGGGCACCGACTTTGACAAGGCCAGACTTGACTCACTTTGGTTTCTTTCTTTGAAGGTTGAAAGGGATGCCAAAAAGCAGCCAATCAACATAGGGCCCCCAAAATGTGTCGGTTTCGTTGTTTTGCACGGCACCCTGTTTTGGAGTAGTTTGACACACGGTCGTTTTGAGGGACACCTGGTCAAAAATTAATCAAACTGGTGGGCCTCCGACTTTGGCACTGGCCAGACTTAAAGCCGTGGTGTTTTTGGCTTTTTGAGGCGCCCTTCGGTTTGAAGGGACACCGAAAGAAGACAACTCACATCATCTTTCAGCCCGACTGCTGCGCGCCCGGGCCAAACTCAGTTTGTTTTTCTCTCACCTATTCCAGGCCCCAATTTTGACACGCCCATTTGGGCCCCGTACAGTACCACTTGTCTCACATGCTCGCTGCGGCCTTTTGGAGTCGGCATCTTGACTTGAATGACTTCGTTCGGAGTACGGGGACGATTGATTCCCCCAATGAGGTGATCTCCCGTCGAGGGTTAGGTCCTTGCGCCGGGGATCCTTCAATCCAGGTTGCCTTCAGTGGTTTGGATGTTGGGGAATTTGACCCTCTTGTTCTTGAGGATAAATGAAAAACCACCGCAGAGGGAAGCCGAGCATTTTCCGTCCTGTTCCATTTGGGTTTGTCGATGTGTGAGGCTCGGAAGCCTGTTTTGGGTGGTTTTCAAAACCCTGCATTCTTTTTTGGGGGGGGGTCCTGTATACGTCACACATTTCAAGACACACTCAGTTCAACCCGCGCAGATCAGTCAAGGTGCGATGGCCGGGTCGCAACCTTCGACCCCAACAGTGGGCCGCTGCTCGCCGTTGGGGGCATCCGATGGTTTTACACGCCCGTATACACTGGTTGGCACATGTCGCTTGCATCTCTGCCCTTCCTTCAAACTGCTTGGAAAACGGTCGAGTTTCCAACAACCTAGACAGAAGTGCTTCACTTTTTGCAGGTCAGCCAACTAAAAACACGTTGTTCCTTAGAGCTTCTTGCAACTTATAGCGAGCAAGGGTGACACGAGCTCACTCGAGGAGTTTTTTTTCATCCAGGAATTGGGCGAGTTTGCCCAGATAGAGATCTAATACGGCCATGAGTTTAAGAGTTGCAACCACCTCAAAAGTGGTTGGACATATATCCAGGTCCCAGGTATGATCTCCTTGGATCCCTTCGAGCTCTTTCCCACAGACCCCCCCCGGCCATGCCTCATTTGCCCGGTAGCTTGCAGCCTTCGATCCTTCGGTTCGGCTTCTATTCCTTGGGTGTTTCGCGTGGCTGGACCTGTTTCCCCCAGAAATGAATGAAATGGGGGTCCGCCCGAAACCAGGCACGTCCTGGAAAAACCGAACGAATAGATCCACTCCCCCAAACGCTGGCACTTTGGATTCTGGGATTCTCTTCCTTTTTCCGCCCAAGAGACGCGGGTTCAAGCCTTGAACCCCCTCCCCATGTTTCGGCTGGTTCTCCAGGAATCCGCGGTTCCCTCAAGCCACAAGTTGGATTCCGGTTTCAGCTCCCGCTCCTATCGAACCCGCAAGTTCCTTTGGGGTGCCTGTTTCTTTGCGGCTCGGCAGCCTTCCGTTCAAAGGGGGTACAAACGGAAGGCAACATTCCTGATTCAATAAGGGTTCAATAAGGGTTCAATAAGGGTTCCTTATTCCAAAAGGAAGGGTTCAATAAGGGTCAAAGAGGTTCCCCGCATTCTACATTGCCCCTTTGGGTCAACTCAAGCATCACCGTTGGCCAAAAAGCTCCAGTGACTTTCCTGTGGAGCCACTCCTAGGCTCTACCTCGCCAGCGACGGAGCTTCCGCTTCCGCCGGCGACGGAGCTGCGAGCGCGCAGCGGGTCCTGCAGCAGTTGACGCCGAAGGCGGTGCTGGACATCTCGGCCTTGGATGCCAAGGCCTTGCCGGCCTTGCGCCAGCACGCCTCTCGGTCTAGACCGGACAGCGAAGTGAACCATGGAATGTGGGGAACCAGATCTGAATCTGTTTGTTTGCTTTTTTTGCAAACTGGCGGCAGTTTGCCGGTAGCTGGTTTCTAGTTGTTTGTTTGCTTGTTTGGCTTCATGAATCAAATTGTACCCTCCTGTTCACTAACATAAATGTGAGTGGATGGGAGGGTATTTGATTTTGTTGCTGTTTCTTCGGTTTTCCTTTGTGTTTTATATTTCACGTGTTTTTCATGTTGTTCTCACTTGCCCAAGGCCGACCTTGAAGCCTTTTGGTTTCCCTAATTTGGCCCATATGTCCGTTCTGGTCCCCGTTGGTCTAGATCGAGTGTTTGCTATGGTTGCTATTTTAGCTTCTGGTTTTGACTTACTTGGTGTATCTTGTTTTCGTTGGTTTACTGTCTTGTTGCTTGGCCTTCATCGTTCATCCCCCGGCCTTACCGCTGTTTTCCTTCAACCCCCGGGTTGTTTTTCGCTCTCCCGAAGCCGAGGCCGGGCAGTTGGGTCTCCACCCGGTGGAGACCTGCGAGCACCTGGGCGCCGCGCTGCGCGCCGCGGTGCCGCGGCTCTGCGCGGCGGCGGTGGAGCGGTCCTCCGTGTTGGCGTCCATCGATGAGACCTTGGGAGGCTGATTGGTACTGTACCGTACGGGGGGGGGTCCCAAGGTCCCAAGGGTAGGGGTGGGGGGGGGGGTCCCAAGGTGGTGTTGTCCAACGGTTTTGTGCGACGGGTTTTTTCGGGCTTGGTGGGGGGGAGGGGAGAGGTTCCGGTGTTGAGACGCCACTGCAAACCATGAAAGTTGTTTTTTTTTGTTTTTCGGGGGTAGTTCTTTTGGGTTGTGCGACGGTTTTGTTGGTTTGTGGCGGTAGGGGGCCTGGTAGGGGGAGGTTCATGGATTGAGGCTTTCAGGGTTCAGGCCGCTTTTTGGCGTCTTTTTTTGGGGTTTTGCTGGTTCCGTTTGGGGGTTCCAACGGGAGCGGGGAGTCCAATAGTTGTGTGGTGGTTTTGCGACGGTTATGTTGGTCTTTGCGGGGTGATGCTGGCCGTTTGGGGTTGCTGTTTGTTTGGGTGACTTCGTGGTTGATTTTCTGGGTTCGGGGGTTTTCTCTTTGTTGGCTTCTGTTGGCTTCTGTTGGCTTTGTTGGCTAGAAGGAACCGTACTGGTATTGCAAGGGGCGCAAGTTCTGCAAGGAGACTGGACCCTGGTTTTCTTGGTTTACTGGTAGTATGTGTGCTTCAAGCGTTTTTTTTGTGCGGGGGTCTTTGGATTGTTCCTGTAAAGTGGCTGGATATCCCACTAAACCCATGAATGTAGTCAGGACACGTTGGTTTTCTTTGCGTTTGCCGGAGTTTTGCCGGTCGCCTCCTTTTGACGATTTTGTATCCGCTGTGGGTAGAGTATGAAACATCTGAACATAGTCTTTTCTGTGTACCTCAGATGTGGGCCAAGCAGTGGGGTGATGAGTATTTATGGGGTATGGGTCTCATTGGCGCATATTGATAAGCTCAACATCACTGAAATCCAGCGGTTTGTTTCCGTTTCAGGAAATCCACCGGGCCCCGTGGCTTTTTTGGTACACTTTGCGGAAGACCAGGTTTTTTTGGAGTGGGTGGCTTGGAAAGGTGTGTCGGGGCTTTCGAGGGACGCCGGGACGCCGGGACGCGCCATTTTCTGACGCCCAGCTGAGCCCTCGTCAAGAAAAGATTGCAGTTTGATCGGAGAGGCAGGGGCCGAAATATCAAGGCTTAAACGTGAGATGAAAAGGAGTCCCAAAGAGACAAACGTGCTCGTCCACTAGCGAATTGGGGAATTCGACATCAGGCTTGGGATGTGTCAAAGCAGAATGAGTTGGATCCTTCTGGAAAAGGACGGCTAGGAACTGGAACCAACGTGAAAACTAGCTTTGACCCATTTGCCCTGTATAATGCTTTGTAGTACCAAAAAGCGTCAGTGGGGATAACCGCAGGGTATAAGACTAGAACTACCATCATTGGACATAAACCAGAAGCTTTTTGTCAGCCGTTACGTGGACCCAATCGGCAACATGTCAGCACAGCTTGGACCTGTTGAGGGTGGTTGGAGCCACGAAGTTGAGTGGCAACCTTCCCTTTGTTCGAATCGACAGGGTCCACCCATTGCACGGGTTCCCCTTGGCCACCTGGGTCACTGGTGGCAACTCGGAAACCAGCAACCATAGGGGTATACATTCCCCCGATTGGCTCTTGCTTGTGGTTTGGGGTCGTGGAATTCATTTTACACCACCTTCTGAAGACGCAGCCTTGTTGCGACGAGAATGGGACCTGCCACACGTACCTCATTTCGCTGTACTTACGTCGGATTGGTGGAAGGGGAATCCGCAGCGGGAGGGGTGTACCCTGTCTAGAATGAACTTTGTCGTGTTGGCTGAAGATTGATTCGGCTTTGCTCGCAATTGTGTCTGTGTGCGTGTGTATGTTTGTGCGTGTTTCTGTGTCTGTGTCTGTGTCTGTGTCTGTGTCTGTGTCTGTGTCTGTGTGTGCTTGTGCTGGTGCTGGTGCTGGTGCTGGTGCTTGTGTTTGTTGGTGTTGGTGTTGGTGTTGGTGTTGGTGGTGGTGGTTGTGCTTGTGGTAGTGTTTGTGTGTGTGTGTGTTTGTTTTTGAGCGTACCCCTCTTTTGGAGGACCCCCACTTTGACAAAACGCCATACTGCTTCTCAAAATAGGGACCCCTTTCGGCTGGTTCACCTTGCACGGGTCCCCAATTTGGAGAAACGCCGAGAGGACGGCTGCTGGGTGGAAGCTACCGCCGGGCTTCTGCGGTGTCCATGCCTCAGGTCATGTCTCACTCCCCGGGGTGTCCACCTGGACGTTTTGTCTCGTTTTCGGGCTTGCCAAAACGTCCGGGGAAGTGGCAAAGACAATTTGAGTTGTGGCAAACTCGGCCCTTCTCTGGAGGAACTGGGAAGACATGCGGGTTGCAAACCAACAATTCAGACGGTTTCTGGCCAATTCAATCGGACATTGGCCTTTGAAGGCATGTATGTCCTCACTGGACCCTTTGGAGGGATTAGGATAGGCCAACGGAGCCTTTTGAGGCTCCAGCAAGACGGCAAGCGGTTGCATCACTGCTACCCTTATCAATTCATCAGCCCTGCCAAAGGTAACACTTACTTCCTTGAACCGGGTTTTCCTTCGGGATATATTTTCGCAGCTGGGAGACTGGGAAAAACTTGGATGCTGTTTCGGAAACCAGCAAAAAAAATATGGGACCGGACGCCACAGCTGGGTTTCCGGCGCCCATTTCAGTGGGTACTCGCCGAGCCTAGCTGGACATCCATGGGGTACTTAAAGTTTCAGGGACCGACCCCGTTTTCAAAACATGCATCCAAATGCGCCGTATTTTTGCTTTTCTCACGTTTTTGCTGATTTTTTAAAGTGGAGTGAAGTTTGTGGGAAGACCAAAGGGGACAACTCCTGGGACAAGCAATGAGGTTTGTTTCAGTTAGATACCTCCAGTTGGGAAATGGGCGTGTCGTTTTGTGAGGGTACCTCTGTTCAGGTTGGTTTAAAGAGAAAGGGACCGCCACCAGTTTTGGGGTACCCCTATTTTGGCACACACCCAAATACTGGGGATGGACACACTCCCGCACCACAGCTATATCCCAGAAAATGCAAAAATCAAATTCCGCGCGGATCGATCGGCACCATGTACCTAGCAACTGGGAAGCGGTTTTTGTCCATCCGTAGGGGTTCCTCCACAACAAACCTGCGTATTAAAACCACGGTTTTGCCCGAGGTACCTCCTGCTGGAGTCCCCAAAAAGCATCACTTCTCCCAAAAAAAGGGTCCTCCCCCAAAATGGCGACGGTGTCCCTGTTGCTTCTATTTAGAACCACCCCACAACTCCATTTTGGGACACCAGTTTGGGAAACCAAAAGGGCCGAAATCCACTTTGCTCTGAACAAACACGACGCTTTGCTGCTCTCAGGTCGCTTGGCTTCGGCAACGAAGAAGCCGCCAACTCCACGCTCTGCGCTTTGTGGTCCTTCATGGAGCAGGCGACGCGGACTCCGAGCGGATCGAAGCGGAATCGGGCGTGGCCTTCAAATGTACCTTGGATGGGGTTAAAAGGCAAAAAAAGATGGGAGTTTGGGTATTTTCCTCTTTGGCTAGGAGTTACCTTTGTTTGCCTTGGTTTAAACAAAGGCGAACACCCTGAACCGGAGAGGCGATCGTGCTGTGACTTGAACCCATATGCTGACATGTCGGACTGACATCCGACCGAGCCAAGTGTCCACTCGTGAAAGTGTCTTCGGAGTTTCGGAATAAGCGCCAATACTCCCAACCTCGCTTTGTATCATATGCTTATGCACAAATGTATAATATATTGACATGTATTGTATGCTACAGGTATTATATACTACAGAGGGCTTGACATTGTGGGGTTGACATGAATTCAGTGTGCCCAGGGTTTCAGCCGCATGGAGGCAGCTTGCACAAGCAGTTGTGCCAAGACTTGCCAAGCAGCAAACAGGACCAGATATTTGTTCAGGTTTCCTGTTCCACATACAGACAGACATTTCCACGCCATGGCTGATGCGCTGTCATTAGAAGATGAGAGAGCCCGGCACCACGCCAGACGCTTTCGAGAAAAGAGCGCTGCAGCTGTTCTGCATCGCTACGAGCTGCAGAGAACGCAGATGAGCCGGCCACAACTTGAGCAACATGCCTTTCACGTGGCTTCTTGGCTTGTTGCGCTGCCCGAGGATGAGGTAATGCAACATCACAATGGCCTTTCCGTGGTCACCTTGTTTGTACGATACTTGGAGTCATTGGATGGCCCTGATGACAGGCCAGCTGGCGCCAGATTGGCTCGGATTTTGGCACGAGTGTCTCAAAACATCCTCTGCCTTCCTGGCGATGATCCAGTGGTAATACAGCTTCAACAGCAGATCAGCAAGCATACGCCACTGGAGGAGCTGGTCCCCAAACATCGTTCACTTGCTGATGAGAAAGGTGCTGAATGTGAGGATGTTGAAGCCAAGGCAGTGCGGCTGATGCAGAGGGCCATCCAAAGATGGCAGAACAGCGGCTGCCGAGAGACGTATGTCAACAGCCTGGAGCAGGAACTTGCAGAGTCGGAAGACCCTGCCACACTTCGGAGGATTCTGCGCCGCGCCGTGGCTGCCTTGTCACCGCCACGGCGCAAAGGCAATGGTAATAATTTGCTTGCTTGCAGCTCGTCGCAGAGCGAGCTGCAGTCCAGGCTGCGGTCACTGGTCCTTGCATGTTTGGACGGCTTGGATTTGACAGATTCGTCATTGGCACCAGCGCTGCGGTGCTTGCAGGCACATGTGCAGAAATTTCAGGAGCTTCTCGTCAGTGAGAGCTCAGTGGCCAGCCAACGGCAGTGGCTTCGATTACAGGCAAAGTGTGCTGTCATCTCAGCTGAGGCATTACCGGGCCTAATTGCTTGTTCTACAAGCTTGTGTGTGGATGACAACAAGAGGAAGTGCAAACGGCCAGAGAACAGCTTGGCTTCAGACGGTCAGAAAGAAAAAGGCTCTGGGACAAGGAGATTGCAAAATTGTCCGCACGGCAAGGTTAAATCGGATTGCAAGTACTGTATTGGATGTCCGCACGGCAGGATTAAGCGAAACTGCACAAAGTGCAATGCGTGCCCACACGGCAGAAGGAAGTGCGAATGCCGATGGTGCACTCCATGTCCACACGGCATGCTGGAGCGACACTGCGCGCAATGCCACCCGTGCCCCCACAGCCGTCTTGCTGTGGATTGCCGACAGTGCAGTGGGTGCCAACATGGGCATGTCAAGCGCAAATGTCGAAAGTGCAAAGCCTCCAAGGGATAGCTGCACAAGAATTGCAACGTTGCTCAAAGGGGCGTCATGGTAGACAATGAGAAAATGAGACGTCAAGTTCTGTAATCGAAATCGAAACGGCCTTGGTAGCAGAAAAGGATGAGTTTGCGACACGATGAATGTGTGTATTGCGCTGCAAACGTCCGAGTTTGGATAGTGTTTGACGCAGAAAGAAACAAAAGGAACATGCTGATTTGATCCTATTTGTTCAGGGCTGGCCTTTTTTTTGTCACCAGCCTTTAGAACCAATGCTGGTACGTAAACATGTGCTCTGGGCGAGCTGTGCCGTGTCCATCTGGCTTATGAGTTTGTTTTGGCGGAAGTGCGCGAAGCAACCAATGGCGTGTCTTGTTCGTTGTTGTTTGGGGTTGCAAAGGGAGATCAAAAGGACACGAAACATTTGTCGTGCCCGTTTTGAGACGCAAGGCAACAACATCTCCGAACCCCGGCTTGAGGTCCTACCGGTTCTAACCGGCTTGGGCGTGGCACGCTCTGGTCGTTTGAGGTGGTTCTGCTGCTTGGGAGTTTTTGTTGAGGGAGCCCTTGTTGCGGGTGGAAAACCAAAAGGAAAACCGACCATTTTGCAGGTCCCCGAAATTGGTGGGAAGTGCATCGCGCGGCTAGAATTGGAACCTTCGCAAACTGCCAAATTGGACAGCAGGCGCCATTTGGTTGTACCAATGCAATCGAGTGTTTCTCAACATGGCGGGAAAGCCCCCCTCTGGCCGCTGTTTAAAGGGGAAGAAAGGACGCAAACCATTTTCAGGAGCCGATCCCTATTCTGAGATTCTGAGATTTTGAGGAAAACATAATCCGACATAAATGGGACCCGGCAGAAGGCAACTTTCATTTGCAAAGGGCTGCAAGCCAGACCCCTTTAGCTTCTGATTTGCCCAGAAGCTATGTAGAGACACAGACAACTTGTCACCATGTGTTTGCGCCTATGTTAACTGCCACTATTGTTCTATTTCTATTTATGTTGTTCTTTACGCACGTTGTTATCGTCTCACGTCGTTATTTACTTTAATCGTTATGTGCCCACGTTAATTCTTTGACATTCAATATCATTGTGTGGTGTGAATGAATAGCTATGCTGAAAGGTCATGTTTGTGTCGAAGGACAAATGGACTATGAACTACGTTGAACTATGCAGTGCGTTTTTGGGAGACTTTGAGACGCCACACGCCATCTAGCGCGCTCCGCATCAAATCGGATTGAACTTTGCATCCTAGGCTGCTCCCCTTGTTTCGATTCTCCTCAAGCCATAGTTCACCTGTGGCCGCAATCCTTCTGTAGCCATCGTGGTCAGTATTTCGATGGCTTCTGGAGTTGTCAAAGTCAGACACTGGGGGATTCCTTCAACCTGCCACTCGAGCAACTTTGAATGGTCCAATGGTGCTCCCAGCCATCCGCTTGGCTTTTGAGCTTTTGAGTGTTTGCAGGATTTCCAGTTAATCCACAAGTTAAGCTTCTGGCGGGGCATCTGAGAACGGACAGCCCAGTCCAATGGTGGAATAGGGCGAGGCTCAGGCCGGTCCGGCACAAGCCTTCCAAGTCGATGCGGCTCCCTTGAAGCGGTTGGGTCCGGCACAAGCCTTACACCTATAGGGCTGTGTCTTTTTTGTGGGTACCCTCTTGGGGGTTGTTTTGTTGAAGGGAAAGCTAAAGCAAATGGTATCCTGGTTTGGGGGGCTCTGCAGTGCCCTTTGTTTCTTCCAGTTGTTGGAGGGGTTTTCCCTTTTTACGAAAAAGCAAGTATAAAGGGAGTGATGGAAATCCCGAGGGTCGTCCTCAAACTTCTTTTTTTGATTTTTATGGTTTTTTCTTTTTCCCGGAAGTCTAAGGAAGGTCTTCCCATGGAAGTCGTCTGGGTCCGTTTGGGGCTTTGCATTGGAGCGACCAAAAGTAGCAGCGTTAAATCAAGTAGATATCTATTTCCCGGACGCAGCTCAAAAATGGGAAGCCACTCGTAATGTTGAGGCAAGATCCCAATCTTCAACAGGTCCCCAACCCCCCGAACATCCCAACCCCCCCCCTCTGATCCGCCCCAATCTTACGTACACGATCCAGGCGCCGGACGGCTTGTCCGACCGCTGCATTGGGCATTTCGACCGCTTCTACATGGTCCCAGCCTGGGACCCCACCACGCGCCTGGGCACTTGAGGCGGCCAAAATGCCCGGCTGCCACGCGTTTTTTGGGGTGGGTGCCGTTTCTTTTTTTGGGGAGGCTCAGAGCATCACAAGGAAAACAGAGATATCCATTTTGTGGCCTCCCTGAATTTCAGACACCCCCATTACAATACCTGGGCAAGTTTGCACTCGGAGGTAATCCAACCCACCACTCAGGGCGTGACTTGGACGAAATGCTTGGGATTGCAAGAGACCTATTATTTTTCCAGGACGTGTAGTTTTTTGGGGGCGTACCCTGTTCATCTAGGGAACCCCTAATTGGTGGTGTGGATTTGTTGTTCTTGTGGGTGAAGGGGAAACCTGACCTTCACACCTAACCACCGGTAATTGGAGGGAAGCTAAAGGAAAAAAACGAAACCCCAGTGTTTTGGAGTCCCACACTCCGAACAAGTCTTCAGGAATCCGATTTGGGCGTTTGCAAAGCCAATTCGAAAAGGCGAGTGTTGTGTCCCATGTTCATCTGCATTTGTTTTTATGCACTATGAATAAATATGAACGAGTCCTCATCTATGATTTTGCCAACTAATTGACCTGCCAACCTCAGTTCTCAAAACCTTCCTTCAGCTAGTGAACCTGAATAGACATCTTCAATCACCTTGGCTGACTTGGGTTGGGACCACCCGAAATGGGTTGTGTCCCTGTGCGTTCCATCTTTTCCAACTCAAGAAAGCGTGTGTCATATCTGCCACCTCCATGTCCTGTTGCGAGCATCTTCGCTGCCCAAGACCACGGGCAAAGCAGTTAATATATATATATATATATATATATCCGTGATATTGTTGCTATATTTCATCAAACCTTGCATATAGTGATGGCTATATCCAGTTCTTTTTGTGGCACAATGCAATTCAACCCAGAGTGGTTTGGGGGTTCACCAAATCAATTCAACAAATTTGGTCATCCCGGATCAAGCCCCTTGGTTTTCTTGCTTGCTCAGGGAATGTGGGAATGAGCCAGGGCTTCCCATAAAGGCAACCACCAGTTGGATGGTTTATGGGGTTCATGTCCTTCCCTACCTATCGCGCCAGCAAGATAAGGTCTGTTATTGTACTGAACCAATCTTTGTTGGTACCCAAATTTGGTACCATGGGTAGCTTTTGGTAACACAGGTACCTGAAACATACCAATTTTGGTTGCTTACCAACAGCACACCCAAACACAGCAACTCCAAAACTCCACCGATCGCACCGATCTCCCGCACCGATCGCGAGTTTTGTTGCGTCCCCTTGGCGTGGGGAGTTGGCCGAGTGGCCGAGTGGATCCAATTCAACCCAGAAAGCTTTGGGGGTTCACCAAATCAATTTCTTCCCATTCAACCAGTCTGATCGTCGTCGTCGTCGTCGTCGTCCGTCGTCCATGACTCCATGTGTATCTTATCATATGAAAAATAAAGAACCAGCATGCAACAAAGGATTAAAAAAATGTTTAATGGAAGCAGAATATAAAATATATTTAATAAATGAACATAGTGCATCATGCAAATGTCACAATTGTCATGAATATTTAAAAAATCCAACTGTTCATACTTTTAATAGAATTAAAAATACAAACAAAGATGAGAATAAATTTTCTTATGTAAAATGCTATAAACAAGTTCATGGCTTGAAGTGTTGCACTAACACAAGTTGTTTAAGTCACAGAACTAGTTGTAGTCCATCTAAGAAAATGTTTAATCGTGACAATAATGCGGTAAAATATATGAAATATATAATTGATTATACTTTAAAGCATCACGAAAGACCGCCAGAATATTGTCGCAGTAATATTTCAGAATAATGAAATGTTTTCACAATAATTTACAGCTTTAGTTTCATGAAATCATAAAACTAGGAATGTAAATTGTTACACAACATTTCATAGATACAAGTAGTTTTATAATTTTATTTGGTATTTTTTTAGTGGAAAATGATTATTGTTTCTTATAAATTGTTAATGTTTATATAAAACTACTGTATAACTCTAATTATAATCATCACCATACTCGAAAAATTTTACTTGTAAAGTATATTTAACAATATATTTTTTATTGCATTATTGTAAAAACAATGAAAAATAAAGTGTATATATATATATATCTTCCTTTACATTTTGAATTATTACCGTAGCCATTTTGGCTCAAGTATCCCTACCCCGGTTCGGATACACAGATTCTGCTCGGATTGATCAACGCGAGGTGAACTGTGTGTTTGCCATGAACGATTCTGGGCCAGTCCCAAAGGAGTCTTGGAAAAAAATCCAGATCTTGCGGACAGAAAACAGAAAGTGTGTGTGGTATCGCGAATTCGAATCCTGTACAAAGCCACACTCTGTCAGCTCCACGAAAATGCTTGATATGAAAGAATTCAAGCTCCAGATGAACTTGTTTTTTGAAACAAGATTCCGCTATATCACGAGGTGTAGGGTAAAAGAGAATTTTTCCAGGTGGATTAGAAACAGCGAAAACGACGCTTCGTTGTTTCAGATCTTTTCCCCGGGAATATCACATTATGTGTATGCCATTCCCCATGACATACACACAGAGCATACCGCGAATGGCACCATGCGAACAACAGGATTCATGACTTTTTACATCAGCATCGAGGGCAGGATATCGTATGCAGCGCAAAAGTTTTCGGTGAAAGAGACCAAAACAGGAGACATAAGCATGTCATTTGGTTCTTTCGTTTTTAAAGAGAACACGTTGATACTCGAGCACTGTCTGCCCGCTCGTGGAGTGTTTGAATTGAGAAACGCAGACGATGGGGCGCGTTTCGTAAAAATAACCGAGCGAGACGAGTACGTCGAACACTATCCCGCGATTAGTGTGATGACAGATTGCACTGTGTATGACAAGTATGTCTGTATGTGCGAAAAGAGAGCCAAGGTCGAGCAGGAGCTTGCTCTTATTGCACAAGCCGAGAATGAACTCCGTGAAATGTTGATTTCGGAAGGGAAAGCAGTTCCGAAAAGTTCATAGGCGATGCAAATTTTCCATGTTTCACAAGTGAAAGCAAATTATAATTTTATAATTCGCTTTTAAAAAATATTAATATACATATTTAATATGTATATGTTCTATAGTTTTATATAAAAATTAAGAATTTGTAAGAAAATGTCTATACCAATTTCTAGACCTATATAATTTATCATGATAATATTCAATTAATTCATTTTTATATTTACTTTTTACTTGTAAATATTCATTGAATTGTTTAAATTTAAGAGTTTTAGAATTATATAATGATAATTTTGTTTCTATTTCTTGAATCTTTTTTATTATTAACATAATGTTTATTTTCATGCATCAAAACTTGTTTATCATTATATGGTTTTAATGAATATTTAATAACATGTTCATTGCCATTTTTATAATTATTCTTACATAATCCATATAATAAGATTGTTTTATTTAGATCTACAACTAGATAATTATTGAATGATTTTATAACATCTAAATTATTGTTGAAATATTTCTTTTTTTCACTTTTAGTTTTACTTTGAACAATGACGACGAAAGGATTAAAGGCAATAAGGACGTCAATGACGACGCCAAGGAATGACGACGACGACGACGACGACGACGACGAAGGAAAAGGAAGTAATGAAAGGACGACAAGGAAGTAAGTAAGGAAGTCAATGACGACGACGACGTCAATGACGGCCAAGGCACTAAAATGTCATTAGCATTCAATTGAAAATATTTTTCAATATTACCAATATAAATTATAGAATTTAATTTACAAGAACCACACATTGTAGAAATTATAATATCACTAGGAATTATAATATTTTCTGTATAATCCATATATTTCTCATATGTTGATTCTTCCATATTCTTATAATATAAATAATATTTTCTTTAATTATTTTTACTTTCATTTTTTCAATTATAAATAAAAAGGTTTATATACATTTATTTAATGACAATGGATTTTCCTGATATTTTAAATATAATGATTTTTCAATTAGAAAATATTTAAATAATAAAAATTATAAATCTTTTTCTATAACTTATAATAATATATATTTTAAATATAACAGAATATTATCATTAAATAATCAAAATTCATTAAAATATATTAATAATATTGATTATTTTAATACAATTAATAAATTAGTAATACCAGATGATACACTAGTAATATTTATAGGTATTTCATATAATAAGTATATTTTTTAACCACTAATAAAGAAAATAATCACAACACGGAAGATTTATCATTTTTTAATAGAATAAAAACAATTTGTAATGAAAAAGAATCAAGAATACAATTTATTCAAATATGGTTTTTACCAAGTGATAATATTAATGAAATTTTTAAAACATAACAAGATAAATTATATGCTCCAGTTGTATTTATATCAACAGTTCCATTAATAATTGCTGGTAAATTAATACCATTATTATCAACTAATGTAAATAATGGATCAACAATAAATCCCAGGATGGTGTAAAATTAGATATATCATATATTCCATACTTACTAATTTTACATTGAGAAATATAACCTTGAAAATTATCTGTTTCGCTAGACGAAGAACCAACATGTAATGTTGTAAATGTTGCTAAACTATCTAAAAATGCTGGCACCGAAACACCCGAATCTATATTCCCATTTACATATGTATATAAAATATTTGATTTTCTCATTATTGGAATGTGATTCGATCATGGCATACCCAGAGTTTCGGGGGTTCACCAATTTAGCTTCACCCTGGAGGAAGCCCCTGGTGTTGATTCGTCCTCTTTGGGCGGCAGCCCGAGGAAGCCGCGGGAGCGCTCAGAGCCGCAGCCCTTGGAGCTGCTGCCGCTGAGCGCCGCCGAGCCGCTGCTGCTGCCGGCGTCTCGCTCGAAAGTCGAGCCCGCGTTTGGCTTTTGGCGGGGCGGGGCCCTAAAGTCGTGCCTCAACAAGGCGCCGTAAAAAATAGGGACTTGGACCCACAAAAAGAAGTAGAAGTAACCATTATGGGAACCCCGAGAAGGTGTCAAGAGGATTTGCACCCAGCATTTTGTTGAGACCCGTTTGGTCTCAGCCTCAAAGAGAGGCGGTGGCCCTCAAAATGAGCGGTTTTCTGACTTCCCTTTGAAGCCAAAAGGGGCTTCCCCACCAAAAGGGACACACCTGAGCTCTCAATCTCATGGCGTAAGGTTTCGCTTTCTTCTCGGTGTTGGGAGAAGCAAAGGGGGGCAACACCCGTGTTGAAACAGTTTTTTAGTCTCACCATCTTTATACAAGAATCATGCAAGTGGACTGGATGCCCTTTCAGGAGGCCTTTCTTAATTCTGAGAGGCAACCAGTCTTGGGATGGAAACATCCCAAAGCTCAAGCTCCAAGGACCTAAGGCGCTCGGGTTTCCAACCCTTCGGGGAGACTACTTGATGTCGAGGCTATTCCTGTTGCCTGAGTCTCACCTCAACGAGCGGTGCCCTCAAAAACCACATACCATACCCTCTTGGCAAGGGGCCCAACAAGTGAAAAGGATGTGGAGACAACTGTTTGGGGCCTCGGACCGATCCACGTTGCCAAGGTCGAAAAACACTCTGCTTGGGGCTAAGGATGGTCGACCCGAAACGGTCGTGTTTAGACAAACCATCGTATGGTTCCTCCAATGAGCCGAAAACTGAGGGCCTTTCGTGGTGTTTTGTTTCCAGAGAAAAACACCAACAGGAACCATTTGCCCTGCGGGTTTTTCCATATCCTATGAGCCGCAAGGCCATTGGGGAGGGCCGCTGTTTGCTTGAGCTGATCACCCAAACCCGCGCTGGAGCTGATCAGAGTGGTTAGACCTGACAAATCCTGGTGGCGAAGCCAGCCATCCGGTTCCTTCGCCTTTCAGCTTTGTAGTGTTTAGTGGTAGCTTCCATTTCATTAACCCACTAAAAGTTAGGCTTTTGGCGGGGGATCTGAGCCCAGAAATATTCGAGTTGGAAACCCCCTTATGCCAAGCTGGGTCACCGAAAACAGCGGCAACGGATGGTTTTGTAACCGCCGATGGAGAGGTTCCTACATACAAGTGGGACCCTTGCTCCTTCCGTTTGCTTTGGCGTAGGAGTGGAGGCCCTTTTCGTATGCTTTTAGTGGGAAGCCATAAGGAAATCAATCTGAAGGAGTCCCTACTTTTGAGGATTGGTCAGGTTTCCTAGCACTTCGAGGTGGTTGGAGCCTGGCAGCATTCGGGGAGTCATGTTACGCAACGTTGGAGGCTTGGAAATTCATGGCCAAAATGGGGCTATAGGCCTTTTTAGCGGGGCTTTACTGGGCTTGTAACGCTATGTATAATGTGTTTGCTAGGTTATGACCCAAGAATCCCCACCCCTAAGCCCGAAACGGGCTCGCAACCCACACTACCCACCCGCCTGTGAAAAACCAGAAGTACAACCCACCGAAGCCTTGGGGAAGTCAGTAATTCGTTCTTTCGCATAGGTGTCCTTTTTGGTTTTGCTAGAAACATAGATGGGTTTCGATTCCTGGTGTACCTGGTGGTTCAATCATCTACCAGGGAAGCCCATCTATTTCCCCTAGGACACCTATGTTCTTTCGGGTAGGACGCGGACGCTGGCCTGGCGCAGCTGATGGAAGTGGCCGCGGTGTTGGTGCCGGACAGATTCGCCCTTCGGCCGCCCGGGAGTCATAGGAAACTGGGAGCCAGTGACGCGAAGGTCCTCAAAATTGGGTTTGGTGTGCGGGTGTGTCTGTGGTCACCGACTTCATCCAACAACTTCATCCAACCATGTTACCCTATGGGTCCAGCAAAGTGGTTGCATTTTCCGGCACTCTCAAAAGGGAAAAATTGGAGATGAAAGACCCCGTTTCAGACACCATGTCTCGCAAGCGATCTGAAGTCGGGAGAATCAGCCCGGTTGATTCCACCCGTGCTTAGGTGGACACGAGTCATCCTGCCATGCCGCGCACCCAGTATGTTCAGTGGCACCGTCTAAAGCACTGGCCTGGTTCCGGCTAGCCCAAAGCACTCTTTTTCTGCCAGGGTAATTGGCTACTATGTAAAGTGCATATGGTGATGAATTGTAAGAGTTGGAAACACCTCAAAGTGATTGGTGGACTTGGATTTTCACCTGAATGATTTCCACCAAAGGGTCCCCATACTATCCCCACTTGTGGGAGAACAGGTATCATTGGCCATTCGGGTTTCCGGCGCTGGGTTCCATGTCGCGCTTTAGGACGGAGACCGTGATGCAGTTCCTAGAGCGCAATGGCATCGTACACTCCTTCAACAGAGGCCGGGCATTTTTTCGCCGCAACCTTGGAGAGTTAGGGCAGTTCCCCCCTGGTCCCTTGATAGCCGCAAGGGAAATCATGGGGGGGGTTGAGCTTCCAACCAGCCAGGATCAAGTGCTCATGCTGTTCCCGAACGAGCAACTAAAGCAGCCTCCTCCATAATCCAGATGTTGTTAATAGGCCCCCCATACCCCTTTGGGAACCAGGTTTTGGCCGTGTGGCAACAAATCCATGACACTGAGAAAATAGTAAACACCAAACAAAGCCAACCATCAACAAATAACAAGATAGGCAAATGACTATGTCTAACAATTAGCCAATCACTGACACGCAAAAGAAACGGAGAGCAACATACACAATTGAAGAGCCAAGCTAATGAAAACACATGAACGCAAACTTTGCCCAAGCATAAAGAGGCTAAAGCAAAAGGGGTGGGCTGTTCGTTTTTCCAACCAACCTGTTGTTTGACCACAACACATTGTACCCCCTTTTGGGGTTTAATTACGGGCGCAACCAAACAAACAGTGTTGGCGGCCGTATGTAGCATCCGAGAGCCCAGTTGTCAGAACCGTTCAATAGGTCACCCAACTATTGCACAACACAAGCCATGAAAGCATGAAAGCCATGCAAACCATGAAAAGCAACAGCTGTCACGAAAAGCCGTGATAAGCAACAACCAACAACCAAACTCAGGAACAACCAACAACCAACAACTAAATTCCCAACAAACGAAGTGCAGCAACCAACAACAGAACAAGCAAGAGATTCCTGAAATCTAAAAGCCTGAAAAGCACTCTTAAAATACCAAACAACCTGAGCAAACAACCACAACTCTCAAAAAGCACGCCACGCTTTACCAAACTCACAACACAAACAACCAGAACACCAGAGAAGCCGGAAAACAAACAAAACAAATAGAACAAAATAAAACAAGCACCAGTGTTTTTCCAGAGCCGCCCTTCAAAGTGTAACTAGCCGCAAACGCACTGCGCGCGCTCGCGCAGGCAGCCTGTTGACGGTGCTGGCGGCGTGGTCCTCCGCCCCGGAGCAGCTGAAGCCGCTGATGGCGCGGTGTCAGCGCCTGGCGCCGGCGCAGCGACACCTGCTGCGCGCCTCGGGAGGTATTATGTAGAAAAATGGGTCTGCAAAAATGATATACATATATATATACATATATATATATACATATATATATATGCTGCCCCCCCGATGGATCTACCTTTTTGCTGTTTGAAGGCTAGTTCGCACCAAATGCACATATACATATATATATATATATATGTATATAAAATGGATTTGTTATGTAGAAACATATTCATATATATATATATATATGTATGCATATAGTTAAAAACAAATGTGTGTGTGTATATATATATATATATATACATATTATGTATGCTTTGTATGGGTATGTGACAAACCTCGGGGCACCCAGAAAGATGGCCAGCCAACCCTAAAAGCACACCCAACCCTAAATTAACTCCAACCAGCCCCACCCACCATGCAACAGGGGGGGGGGTGGTTGGGGGCTGGACCATATTTCTATATTCATATATATATATATGTATTCAGCTTCCCTTTCGTTAGAGGTTTGGATTGGTGGTTTGGAGGCTTCCCATTTAGCCTTTACAAGAGCCAGGGGTTCATTTCCCAAGCCACCAATCCAAGCCACCAGTTGGAGGGACGCTTAATATATATATATATATATTATGTATACATATATATATATACACACATATGTATGTCTTGTGTGGGTATGTGTCGAAACAGGGGCATCAAGAAAACGGCCTGTTTTCCTTTTGGCTTTGCTTTCTTGAAATGTATCAGATGAGCTTGGTGGTTTGGATTTGTGATTTGGAGGTGTTCCGGGGGTGCGTATTTTGAAAGAGGCCAATAAACTACATGAGCCGGGGGTCGGTACAGAAAAACCTCATGTTGAGTTGTATGAAGCCGGGTTTGTGCTTTTTTGGACGGCGCCCTGCTGGGGTTGGTTTGGAGACACGCCAACAGAGAGCCATGAGAGAGTCTGGCCTACTTCCAACCCTTCTCGAAATCCTCCAACAATCTGGCAGCCCCTTGGCGAATGTGTCACATCTCCAAGCGAAAAAAGTATCTTTTTGTTGAGACCTCACTTCAAATTTGTAGATCTTTGGCAGGGACACCAGGTGTGTGTGTGTGTGTGTGTCTATGTTAATATATATATATATATATATATATACACATATATATATATATATATATAATATGTATACGGTTGCCATTCGGACTTTTTCCTTTGGATTGCTTCTTTGGGTTTTGATCTCCCTTTGGGTTTCCCTTTGGGTTTCTTTTGAGGTTTCCTATTTGGGTTTCTTTTTGGGTTTCCCTTCAGGTTTCCCTTGAACTTCCTTTGCGTTTCCCTTTGTGCTTTCTCTTTGAGTTTCCCTTTGGACTTTCCCTTTGGGTTTCCCTCTGTGCGTTCCTATTGGGTTTCCCCCTTGGGACGGACTTCTCCTTTTGGCTTCCCTTTGGAATTACCTTTGGGTCCCGTCAAGGGCCACATTTCCTCAAGAACCGCTAATGCTCTTACAAGTCCACGAGAACACGTTGCATACCGGTGCAACATTTGTCACCTACCCCCTGATTGGGAAGGGCCCCCTTCAAGGTTGAGAAGGTTTGAACCGAGGATTTGGAGGACCCCGTGTCTAATCTGGAGCCCAATTGAGCTGGAAACAGGAACCTGGAGAACCTCTTCGGTCCTTGCCTTCTTGGCCCCTTCTGCAGGACTTTAATGGCAACAGCAGTTTCTTTAGTAAGAAAATGCTTTTTGGGGCAAGCACTGTATTTGGGAAAGCTTCCATGAAAAGGTGGCCGCAAACCTGCCCAGTCCAAGCTCAATCCTAGCTAAATCCTACCCAAGAACATGACATTTGAGGTTGTTCTGCCCAACCGCCCAACCCAGCCCAGACTCATCCCTCTTTGAGTTGTGCGCTGCAGCACCGCGTTGCCAAAAGCTGTGACCTGGGATGCGGCGCGCCAATCATCGCCCACGCTTCTCACCGTCACAAGAATGAACAACACAGCAAAGGTGACTACAGGCATGCGTCGCGTTCACGTTCGATTGGCGCTAAATGATCTCACATGAAAAGGCTCTGCTTGCGTCTGCAGACTTGGCCTCCCGCAGCCGCGGCCTTGTGGAAGCGGCCGCGCAATCGCTCCGCAGCCTCTGGTAACACCTGCGCCACTCCCATGAGCGTCGATCAAGGTCTGTTCCAATATTCAGACTGACAGTAGGAACCCTATCATGGTATGTGGCCTGCCTGGGTCAGTTCAGAATTGTCCGACAGCGCCACGTCATAGCTCCGGAGTTGCAAGGATCATGTGGTACCACCAGCTGTTGCGCAATCACAGTCGGCGCTCCTTTGTTGCACATTGACACTCGGCAATCATTTTGCCCGCTCAGAAGCTGACATCGCAGTAGCACATTCAACAATACTTTTGAGGGGGCTCCCCGTGACTTGTGAAACCATCAACTACGGGGAGCAGCCTGGCCGCTTGCAATGGTGTCGTCTCTGCAGATGGCTGCGGCCACTGCCGACAGGGTCCACTCAAGAAGCAACGCCAAACTCAACTGAATGACATTGCAAATGTACATACATAGAATCATACACTTGGCACAGGGCTCCGGCGCCGTCCCTCGCCGTCCCCCCTTGCGCAATCACAGTCCCCACGTCTTCGCACAAGATGCCCAGACCTCAAAAAGCAAAAGCGATGTTTCAATAGGTCTACTACCCGGCTCAATGCTAGGGCCCTCAAGATTTCGGGAGCCGAAGCCGAGGCGCGCAGCTCTGCCATGCTCTGTGTGATCCCATCAGCTCTGATGGCACGGAGTCCCTGCACAGCCGAGCCGGCATTGCCGCCCGGCGGATAAGGAGTGGGTGTGTAGACTACCTTTCCCTGGCATTTCGGACCCCCACACCCAGGTGTGTCCTAAAGTTCCCAGGATCTGCACCTTGGTTTTCCATTTGGGTGTCCTGAAAAGAAAGGCACCCCAACAGCCATGAACAACAAATGCCGGTTGATTTCGAGGATCCCTTTGCGCAAGGTTTTTGGATGTATCTTTTGGGGAAGCCGGTAGCACGCTAACCAAACGTAGGGCTTTTCAGGATGGCTTTTTGGGGGTTCAAAGGGATATACGCCAAGAATCGCGCTGGCCGCGGTTTGGAGACGTTTTTTAGAGCCCAGCATACCCAGACACCTAGGCGAGCTTGACAAAATGTGCGTTGGGATTTTCATGTTTGAAGGAAGAGCTCAATAGCTCTGGCCACTCCTTCGAGCAATGGATTGTGACTCTTCCAGAAGCAGCTCAGTGAGCCTAGAGGCATTAGCCAGGTGCATCACTGCCTTTGAGGTGCGGTGCCTTGAGGGTATTGCCATGGGTTGCATAACCTATGGCGATCCCATTATGGAGTGGATGAACATCCATTTGCCGGCTATTTTGATGTTCACCAGGGGTACAGGGGTACAGGGTTTGACCCAGCCACATGAGAGACTGTGTCGCAGAATTTGCAGAAGGATCCAAAAACCAGAGCCGGTGCCCGCAGGAGCCTTGCTTCCTTGCTTCCTTGTGTTGGGAATGCTGACGGCAGTTTTCTTGTTAAAACACTTACCTCTTAAAAACACAACTTTTCAACTTTTTGGGTAACATGGGCTATATGTCTGTAAAAGATTAACTTCCCCAGGGCTTGGAGTTTTAAGGGGTAAGAACATGACTTAGTAGCACTTGGGTTCTGAAAGATCGGTGGAGCATTATGCGTACGACATGTGGCTCAGGTCAACTTGGGGACTGGTTCGGCCAGTCGAAAACATGATTGATTGATTGATTGATTGATTGATTGATTGATTGATTGATTGATTGATTGATTGATTGATTGATTGATTGATTGACTGGTTAGTTGGTTGGTCGGTTGGTCGGCTGGTTGGTTGGTTGGTTGGTTGGTTGGTCGGTCGGTTGGTTGGTTGGTTGGTTGGCTGATTGCTTGGTTTGGCCAGTTCAACTAGAACACATGATTGATTGATTCCAATTTTGCATTTATGTTTGTGGCAGCTGTGTTTGTGTTCAGACTGCCAAACCACCAATCCAAATCACCGACTAAGGGAACGCCGACATATTCGGCACCCTCTATGACATGGGGTTTTTGAGTTTGTCTGTTTATGGGGAACCTCCTTTTTGGGGGGTTTTGGAAGAGAGCCAAAAGGAATCCAGCCCACAGATCCAAACTCCGATTCCTAAAACAACACACCCCGGACCTCGGAATTTGATTTGGGGTTTAGAGGGCCACCACCCTCTTGAGAACGGTGGCTGTTTGGGAAAAAAAGTTGGCCATTTGAGGGTTCTTCGAAATGTTCAAAATGACATGTTGGGGCGTTTAGCGTAGTTTTAGCGCTTTCTTGGGATGGGAAACCTCCTTTCTGGATGCTTAGGACAACCAAAGGGAACCACACCATTTTGGGGTGCCCGAGATTATCATTATTAACTAGTATTAGTATTGTTACTATTCCCGTTTTTTTTTCTTCTTCTACTATAAAACATATTACTATTATCATTGTCATAATGGCAACCCCACTGCATTTTCCCGGCGAGGTGTGCAAGCTCCCCATCTTCCTGGCGGAGTCGGAGCTGGACTCCGCGAACCCCAGCCCCAGCTTCCGCGCGCTGCTGTCGGGCCTGGCGGTGGTGCTGGGCGCGCCGCTGCAGCTGCAGAGCCCCCCGGTGAGGCGGGCGGACACCCGGGGCGGGCGGTTTTTCGGTGTCCCGGGGGGGGGGGCGGGGTTGCTGAGGAGGTTTTTTTTGTGTTTGGGGGTGTTTTTTTTTTTCCCGTTGAAAGGGTGGTCATGAGTCTTGGGGGGTGGTTTTTAAAGCAAAGGAAACGAAAAGAAGGAACCCACCATTTTTGTTTGGGCGGGGATCCACTAAGAAAGACATGCAAACTTTGGGTTGTTGGGGTTGGTTCAAGGGATTCCTCAAGTAGAGACTCTGAGGAGAAACACGAATACGAGGTACTTGCCCCCTTTGGGTTTTCGGATGTCCATTTCTCAGACAAGCAAACAAGCAAGGATACCGGGAAAGCAGGGATGTGGACATATTTGGGGAATCCTCGCACATCTCCGCTTCCCCACTATGCCCGCTATTTTTTCTCCCCGAATTTTTGTTTTTGTGAGTCATTTGGGGAGCTGCGGCAGCAGCACTTGATGTTTCGTTTTGTGACTCAAAGGTGGCTACTTTGTGGGTTGGCTTCAGGACCTTCGTTCCTGGCAGAGGATTTCGGCCGTCGGATCCCGGCTGGGAGCCGTTTGGTCGCCCCGTTTGGTCGACCCGGCTTCAAGCCTGGGCCCCGGTCAATTCAAGGTCCCTGTTTCTGGGATTCATGTCCCGAGCCCTCTGAGGAGCTGCGAGTTTCATCAGGGGTCAACATGGCAGTGGTTGTCAAAACCGTTTTGGGATCCCATTTTGGTTGGTAGGTGCACCACCCATGTTAGTCTATAGTGGGGATTGGCATGTTCACTGGGGGTACGATTCGGATTTTGACCTATGGCCACATGAACCACAATCCACACTTATGCTCCTGATGACCCGCAGAAGAACTTCCAGTTCCTGCGGGACCTCGCCGCCGATGCGCAGGAGGTCCAACCTCACTCCATTGCTGGAGACTTCAATAGTCCCCTACAGTGGGGGACGGACATGGACATTCTCTTCGAGGACTTGTACTCCAAGTTGACGGACATGCTTGGTCCCGATCCTTACACCTTTCAGAGAGCTCAATCCAAGACAAAGATTGATGACATTATTTGTCACACGTTCGAATGGAATTCGGTCCTCCAATCGCGTTTTTCCCCTACGACAATGGGCACGCCATCATCTCGACCAAGCTCAATTGGAACGCCGAGGTGCATCAATACTTGCAGATTGAAGGATATCACATCAACGAGCAGTGTGGAAACCACGCCGAAGTATGGGATGAGTTGCAAGATGAATGGTGTGTGGCTTATGAGAAATTTGATGTGGATATGTGCTGGTCCATCTTCGCCTCAACTATGTTTCGTTTCTGGAACGGCCACACCAACTTCAAGCGAGTCCCTGGCCTGGGAGTCAAAATGCATTGGGAAAACCACCAGAAAGCGATTTTTCACAGGAAGCTTATTGCACAATCCAGTGAAGCACAGGAGCACGAAGAAATCCGGGAAGCCCTTCTTGAGCTGGGTCAACCCTCACTTGACAAACTTCAGGCCTGGAAGCACAGAATGCAGCAGCCCGGCGACAAGTCCCAGAAGAGTAAATGGATTGGAGACGTTTGCAAATGGGTCAGGGCCCCGACCCGCAAGCCCCCCCCTTTCATCAAAGCGAACGATGGCTGGACCAAGACCCCTCAAGAGACAGTGGATGTCATCCGCGACTTCTTTGCTTCAGTTTACCAGCATGATGACCAAATGTCCTGGGATGTAGGCAACCCCAACCACGAAGTCCCTGCTGATATGTGGAATGTGAAACACCTCAATCGGATCCTCAGAAACGGGAAAGGTATCTCCTCGCCAGGGCTTGGTGGTTGGACCTACGCGCATTTCAAAAAGCTTCCGCCAAGGGGCGTGGATTTCCTGCACAGTCTTTTTATGCTTTGCGTTATTTGCGGAAGGGTTCCCAAGCATTGGCTTAATGCTAAACTTGTGGTTATTCCGAAAGGTGAAGCCGGCTTTGATCTCGATGCCATGAGACCCATAACTATCGAAGTCACGGCTCTACGCATTTTCCACAAGTGGCTTTTGAAGTGTGGTGAAATTACCTTCGATAACCTCCCTGAGAACATCATTGGGGGTGTACCTCAGCGCAGTGGCTACCAGGCTTGGCTGCACGCCTCTCTATCTGCTGAGAAATGCCAGAATGAGACGCACCTCTCATTTCATGGTGTGGCAATCGACACAGTCAAGTTCTTCGATTGTATCCCACATTGGCTCGCTTGTCATGCCTTATCCGAATGGGGTATGCATCAGGCGGCTGTCGGCACCTGGATTCATTCCATCAGGCACATGAGGAGATTCGTTTCCACCTCTGGCATAGTAGCCAGACGGCCCGTTCTTGGGACGATCGGGTTGCCTCAGGGTGACCCCATCAGTATGGCCGCCGCTAGCCTGGTGTTGGCAGTTTGGTCAAGAGATCTCAACAGCGCTGTCTACAATTATGTTTATGTGGATGATAGGCTTCTTTTCACGGAAGGCGACTCGAATGAACTCCAGCATGCCTTTGGACGTACCGAGGCCTGGGATACGCTTCATAATTTTCGCACGCAAATAAAGACTTGTCAAATCAGAGATGTGAAGAAGTCCACACCGCTTTGTTGGCGGGATGGACAAGTTGTCAAGGAAGTCAAATCGGTCGATTACCTTGGTGTTCCCCTGGCCATCGGGCTCTTTTCTTCTAAGACTTGGTTTGAAAAGAAAATACACAGAGCTATTACCGCGCTACAATTGCTTGCAAGGGCCAACCAACCTGCGGCCACCACCAATATGATTGTCCGCACGGTCATTATTCCCATGCTTACGTACGCAGGCGCTACACTGAGACCGACTAAGGATCAGCTCAGGCAGCTTCGCACGGCTATTCGTACTGCGGCACACGGAAGCAAGCTTGGGACCTTTTCGGCTCGAATTCTGTTTCAGAAGAACTACTTGCTTATGGACCCCGAGTTTTTCTTTGTCTGGAGGAACCTGCTCTTCTGGAACAATCATGCCTTCAAGAGGCCCGCCTTCAAGGATGCTGTGATTCAGAGCTGGGAGAAAGCTCTCCCCTCTATCAAGAAGATTGGCCCTGTTTCCCAGCTTAAGAAGGATTTGGAGTATTTGCAGCTTCATTTGAACATTGACAACTTGCAAGTTAGCAACGATGAGGGTAGATTGCTTTGGACCTTTGGAAGTAGCGACTGCAAAGTAATGAGCAAGGCTCTTAGTCATTCCTTCCGTAACAAGATTGCTTCTGAATTGGAACAGTGCAACTCCACCTGTTGGAAGGGAATCGGCAACCACGATTTCGGCACAACCACTGCGCTTCTTCACTTATTGCCTGAAGGGCACCCCGTGCAACAAAAGCTCATTCGAGTGCTGATCAACGGGATTAATTCCTTCCACGTGCAATTTGTCAAGAAGTTCACTGATACTCCAGAGTGCAGAGAATGTAGACACCATGACGCAACTATGGCGCACCTGTTTTGGGAATGCCCTTTTTGGGCCGATCTGCGCAGTCAGTGGGATGAAGGTTGGGAATCCTGGTTACAGTGGAGCCCCTGTTCGCAGCACCTTCTGGTGTTCTGCAAGGACCTTCCCCCTAGGCTTCAGGCTAAATGGGGTACGATTCAACGACAAGCGGTTGACCTCCTTGGTAAATGGGAAGCTCGTCATCGCGATCTCCGTACAATTGATTACAATATTCAGCTTGATCATGCTCCGGTGCAGTCTGATCGTGCTGATCAACAGCACGCTCAGCCGGAAGATATTTATTTGCTCAGCTCCCCCTTCCACAGCCACGTTGTGTTTAAAAGGGGACAATTCTTGACTATCGACCCTGATATGATGGCGGTCAAAGCTAACTTATGGTACTGGGGTGGGAGTATTGAAGACTTCCACCTCCTTCGGGGTATGCTTGACTGGTGCATATTTGACAAAGGCAAAGCTGAAACCCTCTCAAGAAGGCATACTTGGATCGAGGCCTTGCTGCTCTTCATCTTTATTGCAGGGGACAAAGCGCCTTTCCTGCGGAAGATCAAGACTGCTCGTGAGGCCCAGTGGAAGATCCGGATGTTATGTCTGGGTATTCTCAAAATGCAAGGGATTCCAATTGATGTTGAAACCGAGCCGGACATGTTGGAGCTTTGTCAGTCTTGGCCTCCGCTGCCGACGTTGCCCTTTGGGCTGATGCTTCCACGGCACGACGGCATCAACATTGGGACTAAAGTTCTGGTCAACTTGAATGAGGAATATCTTATGCTGGGCAGGCCGCTGCGTAAGCTTTACGTCACTATGGATCAGGTTGGCGCATCTATCACCTGCTGGAGGTCTTCGCCGGTGTTTGCCTCCCTGGTGGTTCGGTCTCGTTTGAATGATAAGATGGCGGGCCCGGTTCTTCCCGGCTTGAACCAGATCCATGACCGCCCTTGCATCATTTTTGATGCCTTGACCTCGGTTCAGGATCGTCTGGATGCATGCAAGATCCTCTTGAAAGAGTACCTCATTGAGGTGGTGCCGATCAACTTCCTTTACAGCTTGGACGCCGGGCAGCTGCGCGAAGCACTCGGGAACTCCTCTGTGCGAAGACTTCGGTTTTGTATAGGTCGAAGAAGACATCTTATGACCGGATGGGCCAGTCGTTTGGCCGGCGCCCCCGGGCTCTCCCACTGCTATGGCACCGAGTGGGACCCTTGCGAGCCTCGCTGTGTGCTCTGTGGTTTCACAGTTCCCTGGACGAGGCTCGGCAGGCTTCGCCGCATGCCCCCGTGCAAGGTGCAGTATTCAGAGGCTATTCTGCCTGCGGCCTGTGAGGCAAGAGTCGCTGAACTTTCCTCGCAGGTCGACACCCTTGTGGCCCTTCTTTCGTGTTTAGGGTTCACTCCGTGATTCCCAGGCAATGCCCTGGAGGATAGACAGCGCCGCTACCGCCAACCACAATCCACACCCGGGTAAACCGAAGCTTGGGGCAGTCCCATAAGCAAGTGCGGCCCCGCCCCGTTGGATCCTGTACCTGGCTTTGGGTAGACTTCCATGAAGCCAGGTGAACTTACAGTTGGTTCAATTCGGTTTCTTTCTTTTTCAGAGTTGAGAGAACAGGGGTATTGGGACGGCCACCCACGTCATCTCTCCTTTTTGGAACCACAGCCCAGCCTTTTTTTTTTGCGCTTCGGGATTTTCCCCACACGAGCGGAGCGGAATCGATGGGACAGGCTGGACTTGGACACCTCCTTCGTGTTCCACCAGTCCATCAAGACGGCGCAGGAAGTGGCGGAGGCGCTGTGCTTGCCAGAGGCGCGGCAACGCGGACGAGAATGGGCGGGCCAAGCTTTCGGCGCGCCCCTTTTTTTTCTGTGGAGAACGGTACTTCATGTGTTTTTTTAGCTTGGGTTCAAGGGCAACCAAGGGGAAGACCACTTTTTTTGTTGGCTTCCTATGGTGACAACAAGAACAAGGTACCCAGCACCCTCACACTGTCCTTAAGAGTGTTTGACCAGTGACATAGCTTCATCTTTTCAGGGCGGTGAATGATTTATTAGTCGCTGCCCGACATTGGCTGGCACTCAGCGACGAGCAGATCAGAAAGGGATGACCACGTTTTGCTAGAGGCCAGTTAGGAAAATGGCAGGTGTGCCAGCGTTCGCCAGTTGCCCTTCCTCCCACCCAAAACCCTTGGGATCGTTCCCCGTACATCGATTTCCTTTTGAAGGCACCTCTGAGGTGCCACGCGGGGAGGTTCCAGGGGAAGTTTCATTGGAACCAATCCGGAGGTTCCCTTTCCCAAAAAGGCGTGCCCTGTTTTTCCCATGGACACACCCACGGACAAGGTCTGAACCGTTTTGCCCATGGATGTGAACTACAGCAAATTGGCATGGAACCTAACATTGGGCGATTTCTCGACAAATGAATTCATGTTGGGTTCCAGGTTTAGTTTGCGTTGTACCCAGACAAAAAAGACCTGGTTGGAACCTTGTTCTTTTTGCACTAGCCAGCTAAACGGGGACCTCTTCTAAAAACAATTTGCATGTTCAAGGTTTCCTAAACAGTTGCCATATATATATATATGCACTTTTGTATATTATTTTTTTGTTGGGGTGGGGGGAACTGAACCCGGCTCGTTTTGGCAGGTCAAAGAGATCCTCACCGAGCAGCAGAGGTTCTTCGACATGAAGACCTGGCTGCGCAAGCAGGTCTTGCCGCACTTGGCGGACATGACGCCTGCGGACCAGGAACGATTTCGAAGTTCTTTGAGTGGAACGCAGGTTCCCTTTGATTGGTGGTTTTGGATTGGTGGTTTTGGATTGGCGTTTTTGGATTGGTGGTTTTGGATTGGTGGTTTTGGCTTGGTGTTTTAGCATTGGTGGTTTTGGATTGGTGTTTCTGGATTGGTGGTTTTGGATTGGTGGTTTTGGATTGGCGTTTTTGGATTGGTGGTTTTGGATTGGTGGTTTTGGCTTGGTGTTTTAGCATTGGTGGTTTTGGATTGGTGTTTCTGGATTGGTGGTTTTGGATTGGTGGTTTTGGATTGGCGTTTTTGGATTGGTGGTTTTGGATTGGTGGTTTTGGCTTGGTGTTTTAGCATTGGTGGTTTTGGATTGGTGTTTCTGGATTGGTGGTTTTGGATTGGTGGTTTTGGATTGGCGTTTTTGGATTGGTGGTTTTGGATTGGTGGTTTTGGCTTGGTGTTTTAGCATTGGTGGTTTTGGATTGGTGTTTCTGGATTGGTGGTTTTGGATTGGTGGTTTTGGCTTGGTGGTATTGGATTGGCATTTTTGGATGGTGGTTTGGCTTGGTGTTTTTGGATTGTGGGTTTTGGATTGGTGGGTTTGGATTGGTGTTTTTGGATTGGTGATTGGTGGTTTCCCGTTTACCCAGGAAGAACTCGACATTTACCAGCGGAACCAATTCCCCTTTGGATTGGTTTGGAGAGGTTCCGGGGTGGTTTCCTATTTACCCTTGACGAAATCCGTGGGTTCAGATCCGAACCACCAATCCCAACAGCCAACCAAGGCTTGTCTGCCCGAACTATAGAACACTTGGACACACGGGGGTTGATCAAAACGGTCCTTGACGTGGCATGACCATCGGACAAAACCACCAAAACAAGCACTGAATGGGAAACGTTAGCAACCCCCACATCAGAACGAAAGCGGCACCAAGACAAGACTTTCACGCGCCTGGATCAACGCTGGCGGCGGCTTTTTTTCAGTAAGGGCACCCAAGGTTGCAACTCGTCTATGTAGACGTAGCATTGCAAGACCAATTCGAAGATTTGGGAAAGAGCTTTTGCCACACGCGGTGGGGGAGGGAAACCCGGGATTTCTTTGGCCCACCCATCTTTGCCAAGCTAGTGCATTGACCGGGCATGCTTGCGGATGGGCAAACCGTGCCCATGGTAGCTGAAAGGGACCATTGCTAGGCTCGGGCCAACTTCCTGTTTTTTTTTCCCCCCCCACTAAGTCTACACACCCACTGTTTGAATACCTTCCTCCGGTTCCCCTTGCTGGGTTCTGGTTGTTCCAACAATTTTGGCCCACCCAATCAAGAGCAGCGCTTTCCATGGCAAGGCAGGGCATGAAGCACTTATTGCACCGGACATATTTTGCTTTTGTTTGAGAACGTCGAGGTTGGAGCGTTGCCCAGTTTCAGGCACCAGGTGTTCTTGTGGTTTCTCGGATACGGAGATTGGATATTTTCAGACGAATTGGAAGGGATGTATCAAATCCCCGTTTGTGTTTTCCTAAGTGGGGGTTTCTCATGCTGCTCTCAAATATTTCCCGCTGAAGAAAGCGACCAGATCCGGCAGGACGTGGTGCTGACGAGGTTTCTTCCGTTGGAAGAGGACATCGACATGGCGAACACTGAGTCGCGGCCCATGACCAGCCGGGTTTTGTTGCTCTCGAGGTGCAGGTGTTTACCGAGCGGAAGTATACATGGCCCTTCTCCCCCAAGGTTTCCCCCATAGCCTGGTCCAAAAGCAGTTGGGTGTGTCCTTTTTTTGGGGAGACTTCCGGGAAACGAGAGGACTCCCCTTTCCGGTGGCTCCTTTTTCCAGAAGTTCAGTGGGGATTTGGACCCCAAGCTGGGGGTTTGCTTTTGGTTTCCCCTTACCAACCAAAAAAAACAATGGGTGTACCAACTCCAAAAATGACGGGCGGTCCGGGGAAGTGGCGAGCAAGCCGAGGCCCTTCCTGGTGCCGGCGGAGGCGCGGGCTCGGAGGATGCTACCGCCGCCGGGGGCTGAGGCATGGAGGGGACACCCAGGCGACGATTTGTTTTTAAGCCGCGTGCCTCGTCGTTCCTTTTGGGGGAGCCCCCCAACCCAAAAATGGTTTGCTTTTACCCAGTAAAGAGGTAAGCAAGGGGGATACTTAAACCAACATGAGAGATCCACTTTCACCCGACTGTATTTGGTACACTCAAGAAATCCCAAAACACCCGGAAGACATTCAAGGTTCTATTCTAAGGTTGGAGTGGGGAGCCACGAATGAGGGTCCTCTTCCTAAGATAGCCCTCTCAGGCAACACAAAGTCTTGATGACCCCCTTTGGATTCGGCATCCAAAGCAACCTAAATGGACTGGAGTAACCCCCAGTTTGTACAGGGTCGTAACTATGGCTACCGGACATTTAGCTAAACCCCAGACCGTCTAAGAAACGAACCGTCCTAAGCAACCATCAAACAATCAAACACATATCTTTGACGAGCCCTTTCAGGCTTTCGCGTACCCCACATCGACCCACCCACGTTGACTCGGAGTGAGGTGCCGAGTGTTGGACCCGCAAGACTTCACCATCCAAGAGGTCTTCGGTGTCCGCGGGGACGAGTGGCCGGCTTTGGATGCCCACCACTTCTACCATTTCCCAAGCCGCGCCCTCTCCTCACAGGAGCCCCGGCGAGCAAATGGATCTATTTGTATGTGTCTTAGCAGTCGGGCCCCGCAAAACACCCTTCGGTGTCCCTGCGGTTTCCCTTCGGTTTCATGGTTAAAACTGGGGTTTCCCTTTGTTGTCCTGTAGTTTCCCTGGTAGCTTCCCCAAAATCCCAGTTTTGTTCTTTGTAGTTTCCAGTTTCAGAAGCTCTTGGACTTGGTCGTCCAGGATTTGGGCCTGGGGAAATGGCGGTTTCCCTGGTCGTTTTCCTAGCCCCCAACATAAAATCAAATAAAACGGTGTGTGGAGGTTGTCCTGTTTGGCTGCCCTGAACGTGAAACTGGCACCCTCAGAAACGGGGAGCGATCCAACTGTTCAACAAATGCCGGGTTGTTCCCTAATTGCGAATTCCCCAACTTGAACGAATTCTGGCCGCCTGGGTGCCTTGCTTTCAACCACCGAAAATGGTCCCAGCCCAAGACAGGGAGCCGAGCGAAGAACCAAATCGCGGGGCAGACTTTGCCATCCCGTGCTAGGTAGGCTTGTGCTTTTTTTCCGAGCACCCTCTTTTGGGGGTTTGTTTTGAAGGGAGACCGAAGACAACCACTTCACGTGATGCCCAGACTTTGACGCAAACCAGGCTATGGACCCTGGTTGGTGTCATGATGGATTTCTACACGCCAATGGAAAACGTTCGAATGTTAGGCTTGCAAACTTGTTTCCCCCATTTCGGTTGTGGTCAAACGAAGAGTCCTACCGGGAGAACCATGGCCACGATCCATAGGTTTGCCCAGCTTAATTTACGTATTTGTTTGCCTTTCAACCGAGTCCCTCTATTAGGCCAGGGTTGGATGTCACCCCAACGGAGTTTCGACCTCACATCATTGCCAGACTCAGCTTCCCTTTTCGACGTTTTGCTGTTGTGGCCGTCCTTCATGGCCCCTTTCCTCAGCATAACCTGTACTTTTTGGAGGCGGATCCGTCCCCAGAAAGCACACTATGACTCGGGAAAGCGTGGATTTTCTAAGATAGCTTCCCCCGGCCCCCAGAGTAAAACAAGGAATCTTTTCAATGGCTGCGCGTCCCATCAACCCCCCCGCGGGTCGTTTAGTCGACGCCATTCGATTTGAGGTGCTCACCCACCTCAGACGGCTCGGCCTGCGGAAAAGCATCGGCGATCCTTTGGTGCTGGCCTTCTTGTGCCAGGCGGCCGGAAGTGGATGCGTTCCTATGTGTCTGGGTGTCTATGTGCGCGTGATGTTTTGAGTTGGTACCCAGTTTGTTGCGTGGTTTCAGGGGAAACCGAACGGAACACTGCCGTTCTGGAGGGCCTAACACCCCTCCCTTCGCACATCTCCGAAGGCTCGGCCCTCTTTTTGTTGGGAAGACCAAGGAACACCGGCCCATTTGGTGTTTCCTTCTTTTAATTAAGGCTAATCTGGATTTACTTTTTGGAGGGCCATTTTTTGGGGGGAATTGTTTTCGTTTTTTTTAAGGATTGCTTTTTGTGTTTCAGGGTGGGTTTCATTTCGCATCCTCTGCATTCACAGTTCCTCTCTGTTTGTCTTTTTGCATCCTCTGCATTGCCAGTTCCGCTGCGGCAGATGGCTTTTTGGCGTGGCTTTTGGCGGCTTTCTGGCTTTGGCTTTTGGCTTCCTGCATCCTCAGCATCGCAAGTTCCTCTCTGGTGCCCCCCGCCACCCCCCTTTCGATTAAAATGCACGCCTCATTGAATCATCTCTTTTTCGATCATCATGCGACGGCTACTTTTTAGATTCTTTGTCCCTAGTTGAATCATCACTTTTTCGATCATCATGGGGGGGCTGCCGCCCCCAACCCCCCCGCTGCTGTTTTATATATATATATATATTTTTTTTGGCCTTAATTGAATCATCACTTTTTCGATCATCATGAGGGGCTGCCGCCTCCCCCAACCCCACCCCCCCCCCGCTACTTTTTGGATTTTTGGCAGAGATTAAAATGCACCCCTAATTGAATCAGCATGGGAGGGCTGCCGCCCCCCCAACCCCCCCGCGACGTTTTAGGTGTTTTACAGGGATTAGTTTGCCCGTATTTGAATCCTCACTTTTACCATCATGAGGGGGACCCGCCCCTCTTTTTAGCATGCATACATAAATGCTTACCTTGCCGCAGAGGAACTGATGATGCTGAAGATGCAGGAAGCGCGATTTGCTGGGGATGTTGGCTGGACATGCGGAGGATGTTGAAAACGGTGCTGATGATGTTGACGGACTAGCATAAAATACCTACATTTCGCAAGAACATGCTATAAATTGCAGCATGTTTGCAGCAACAAAAATAAAATACATCTCGACCCTTTACTTTTTCTAGCCACAGTGCTGTCATTGAGACACAGAAGTTCCAAAGTGTTGGATTGTTAATCTGCGAATCCGACAACAACCCAGCTCTTGTGTCCTTACAGGTTTGTTTACCCCACTGATGAGCTTGATGCCCATCCTGAAGTCCGCATGAGCGTCATTCCACCCTCGGCCACATTCCAGCTCACCCAAATCAAAACCTGGACTCGAAGCAATCCGCAAGGCAGCAGCGACTCTGCGCCATGGGTCATGATGATCACATCGTTGGCGCTTTGGTTTTGCCATTGCGTTTTGCCGTTGTGTCTGGGTTGAAGCCTATGTTGTGTTTGCTGCTCGCCAAAAATAAGCTTGCTCTCGTTCCTCGCAAGTGTTTGTTTCAATTGTAAGCTTGACCAATGGGCAGACGGATGTGAACCTTCCTATCTGTAGATGTTAAACCTTTGATTAAGTTTTCTGCGGTTGCTACATGTGATAACCTCCTTTCGGTATAACGTTTTATTATTTCATCAACCCGTTTTTTAGTGTCATTATTTGCGTTGGGTATTGATTTTCGTTTAAGTTTGTTTAACTCGTTGATATTTCTGTAACAACTTATTATTCATACATGTTTGCCTCCATGTGATACTGCAATGAAGATTCGTTGCATTGTTTGAGTCACTGGCAGGTACTGCGAGACCAGCATCAACAGTTGCCTCGCTTCTTGGATGCCTGAGGTGTTTGCAGAAGGACCAATCTGTCATTTGGACTGCCCCAAAAAGGTGAACGCGAGAGTGAACCAACAGGGGCTACCCCTCGAGACAAGGCAACGTTTGGTACCAGCTCATATTTTGCCCTTTTGTTCAATGATGATTGAAGTAAAGATCTAAGTCCTAGGCTGAAGGTTCAACATAGGTCCGGAGTCCGGCTGGCAAATCCCATCGCATGTAGCCGGGTCACTTTGACACTTTGGCACCCATGTCGGCGAGAGACGTGAGCCATCTGAGTCTGTAAGCTCTGATTTTCAACGGCAAGGGAAACTCACCTGTCGTATGTTCTTTGGGGTAGCATATGGGCGTTTCTCAAAATTGAGGAACCCCAACATGGGCTATTATCCTTGTGGTTTCCTGTTAAAGCCGCCCAAAAAGGGCTACGAGCTCCAGTTTGAGACCCCCCCCCGTGTTTGGACCGAGACTCGTGCGTCGTGCTTCACTTCGGTGCACTTATAGAGGAACAGTCCCAAACCTCATGCGGGCATGGGTCGCTGCCAGGGGAGGATCAAGGTCAGAAAGGGCGGGCATCAATTCGTTTTGTCAGATGGAAACCCACTGGCGGATATCTTTCGTAGGGCCACCGGTGGATATACGCAGGGAATCCCCGGATGTGTTTATCTCAGGTCAGCGCTATGGAGAGATCCAGCGTGGATTGATGCAACGCATCGTGGAGTCCTGGGGTGTCTTTGCAGGCGCGGCTCAGCGGCTCATCGCGAGTGACTGGCTCCTTGGGGTTTTGTGGTTGTGACTGGCTCGTTTAGGGGTTACATTTCGAGGTGTGCCTGGTGCTTTTGGCTTTTTTCGCACTGGGTGCCTTAAAGTAATTAGTTACATCTTGAGGTGAGGGATTGGGCTTGGTCCCTTGTGGTGGTTTCGAGAACTGGCTAAAAGAGGGGCTCTCCCGGTTTCCCTTCAATCCACCATTTGGATGGTGAGTTTGAGGAGGTCACTTGTATGAACCCAGCGGCCAACTAAGCCCAGCGCGCCGGCCCAGCTCAGCTCCTGAATTCAGCGCAGAGCTGACTTTCAGGCAGATGATCTGCAGCTCAACGTGGAACCCAAACAGCCGTCACTTTTAGGATCGCAGTCTCCCAGCCCTACTTTGGGGTTACATGTTTGCCAGCCACAAGACAAGAGGTTTCCCCACCAGGTCGGCTTTGGGGGTTCCTAAAGGGTCAAATCGAATCACAAGAAGCAACTAATTGGGGCCAATCGGGTCCTTGCTTTGCCAACTCTGTTTGGCTGGATATACGTGTATCTATGCATATATGGTTATGAACCCAGTACACCTTAAGTTGAAAAACCAAATCACTCGGCCAAGTGCAGCAAGCGAGCGAGTGAGCGGCTGGTAGGTCAGCACAAGGAGGTGGTGCTGCAGCAAGCCTTCGTGGATATCTCCAGTGAGGCCGATGGCGGCGAAGCGTCTGCCCGGCATCGTTACGAGGTTTCGGTTGCGACCCCTCCCCCCCCAAAAAAATGGTGGTCTTCCGGTTGGTTTTCATGTTAATTCCAGAAAACAAAGGAAGGGTACCCTCAAAAACCACACACATCCAAACGGACTGTCAGTTTTTCCAACCCCCCCCCCCCTTTGAGCGCCAGATCCGACACCCTCTTCGCGGTGAAGTCGGTGCGGGGCCAGAGCAAGCTCTTCCGGCTCAATGAGCTGGTGTCCGGGCCTCGCCTCATCCCGCGGGCGGGGTTTGCCTCAAAACCGACTCGGGTAGATGACTTGGTCAGCGGACAGTCACCAGAACTGGGTGCGGAGAATTCCCGCCGGAATTGAAACTCGTCACATTGGGGTCACCTTTTTGGTACCTGGTTTTGATTGGTCCCAGCCTAAACTGGCGATGGTGTTCGCTTGTTGCGCCTGGACGACCGGGCCCCCTGTTGCCGATTGATATTTTCCTTGAGGTTGGATTCCGAACTGGCTCGCTTACCTTTTGCAAAAAGCACTGGTTGAAAATTACTCCCCATATATCATATGTCTTTAGGTTGACGCTCAGCATACGGGACCCCTTAAAGTGGCAATGGTTTCTGGTTAGGTTCCCTTTGAGCAACATTCAAAGAGCTTCCCAGTTTTTAGAGAATCTCAATCTTTTCAATTTGAGCTGTCCAACAGTAGGTCACCCATGCTCTAGTGGTGTTGTGCTAAGATCAGAGGATCCCCCTTAGTTCTAATACGGAATTGTCAAGCAAAATGGGACCCTCCTTAAGACAGCTTGCAAGGGAAGCAGTATGCTTGGTGATATCCGGCCCGTCGCGTTTCCTGTTGGTTCAGCTTTGAACAGCATTCGAAAGGGTCAGCTGCATAATTTTACGCCTCTCATGTTGGGTCGAAACCCTGAGGTTGTCCGAAGAATGCTCGTCAACCAAATCCCGATGTGTGTTGTGGCCTCTTATTTGCAGTATGTTCAGCACATGAGACAGCAAGAGACCTCATGCCACATCAGTGAATGCGCGCGGACTTACACCGCGGAAGTCCACACCAATCTGCGTGAGCGAAAGAGGCCGGGATCAGCTGCAGTGGGCAACACGCATCAGAACCCTATTGGAGCACGAGAATTCAACATAGGCCTCACACCAGCGCCGCCCAAAACCTGCAGATTTGCCTGTTTCCGCGGCAAAACCAGACATCGACAGTCTTCTATACTTTCCAGAGCTGTCAATTGAACGTCTGACTGGGCGAAACCACTCCGATTTTCAATGCAGTGCAAGTTGCCCATGGCACCTGATCCTGGCCGCTTTCGTTCACACAGATCGACTGAGGTGGTACGAGGCCTCTTAGTCTCTCGCGTGCTGAACATACTGTAAATAAGAGGTCACAACACATTTGGGGACATGGCTAGTGGCGACATACGGCAAGTTCCATGAAGTCTCTCGGAGAAATAGGGTTTGATCTTAAGGTGACACCATGGTGTTGTTCCGGTTTTACCAACAACCACACCTGAACCAGGCCACCAAGGACCACCTTGCGATCGTAGGCAAAACAACACGCGGTGAAGAAAGCGCCGTGCCGAGGTCACGGCTCCATCCTCGGGACCGATTGGGGTGAGAGTCAGGGAGGGACCTCTTAGGCTCCCAACATGGTGAGGAGCCACGATTAAAGGGGACAATTCAATAGGGGTATATGAGAAAAAGGGTAGCCGCATGCTGAGTTGGAGAAAAAGCGCCCGGATAACATGCTGAGTAGCTCCTCCCAAGGCAAATATCGATGTCTTTATCACGTTCACACGCGAGAAAGCCCAATCATTCAAAAGCTCCGATGGAACCGGAAGCAACTCATTGTCCAAAAGGACAACCCCTTGTATAAGGCCTGCGGAGTGAAGCTGGCTTTTTCCCTGGTGAAGGGACATGGTCCTGAAGTCCTGACCAGGACACTTTTGCTAGCTTTCTCCTTGCAACATTTCTCAGGGAAGCAACCGATGGCCTTTTTCAGCATGTGATGTAAGCGCCACCCAAAAAGCGGCAAGTCCAGCCGTTTCTTTCGTCTTCAGCTGGTTTCACAGGGAACTTAGCATGACTGGCAAACATGTTGACCCCTGAAATGCGAGGTTTGTTTCAAATGTTAAACCCAAAACCAGGCCCGGGTTTCTCAGAGGGTACGAAATGCAAAACGCGGTTCGCCCCCACAGCATGTACCCTTTTGGGGCACTCACTTTGCAAATCGCTTAGAGCTGTGTTCCACCCAAAGGTTGGGTCCATTGAGGTAACATCCTGAAAAACTGGTGGCTCAGAGAAAAGCTGCCCCTCACTACTTTTGAGAAGTCCCTCATGCCAGCATTTGGATCCCGACGAATTGCCACCCCTTGAACACGCAGTGTGGAGACATCCGGTTTCGAAAACGTATCCTGAACTGAACGATTTGGTCGCAGGACCCCTACCTCTGCTGGACCACTCTGCCGCTGTCCCCACGGGGCTTCCCTGACTTTGAGAGCTATCGCTCGCCTTCTCTGCAGGATCGAATCGAGTCGTCGCTTCGGATAGATCGAAGCGGCCGGAAAAAGGGCGAGCAAAGGGCTTCAAAGCGCATCGACCCATGGGGTCATTATTTTGAAGGTTTCTGGGGGTTCTCAGAAGTCAGAACATGGGAGGTTGTTATTCCCGTTTAGCCTAAGACTTAGGGGGGTGACTTGGATCATGGTGAGATAATGGGACCAGAAGAGCAGGAAACAGCCAAACATGGACAACAGAAACAAGGATAATCGATAGCGTTCTGGCAACCCCCAATTTCAGGTGGCTTGGTGAAAAGCCCACAACCCCCCACCCCCCCCCTCCTCGCACCTGATAGCCGTCCACGGAAACTACCGGTTTTGGTCAGGGTTGACATGATGCCTTGAAGTGCTTGGAGGGGTGCACCATGTGTGCGGCCACCTACTTGTTGGAAGCATAAAAAAACTATCTTTCCTTTGAAATGTGGCGCAGAACCGCGCACCAGAGCACAACGCCCGCATTTGAACTACCCTCCGACACAGCTCCCAAAGGATACATTGGAACCGGTTAAGCAATGACTCTTAGTAGCTTTAGAGGATTCCTGGTGCAGGTGGTGTTTGGATGCATTTACGGATCCGACATGTTTTGAAGAACCGTGAACACCGTCCCAACAGAACATGTTCGGTGTCGAAGCACCCATCACTTTGATTTTCGAGGCTCAGAGCTCGATTTGTTGGGGTGGTTTTAAAGGAAAGCCGACTCGGCAGTTTGGGAGTCTTTGAAGTGAAGAATTTGGTGTTTGAAAAACTCAGCGATTGTGTTGCATTTGTCCACAACGTAGACAACCTGCTCCCGCAGCTAATAGCAGCTAGCCAGTGTTTGAACTTCATTGTTTGTTCGCTGCAGCTCTGCATGTGTGCAATTATAGAAAGGAGGGCCTGTATTGTTTTGCCTTTTTTTAAATGCTGTTTTGTTTTTCAGGGTGGGTGGCTTTTTGGCTTGTTGTGGCTTTTTCGTGGTTTATGTCGCCTTTGGTGGCTTTTTCAGCTTTGGCTTTTTGCATCCTCTGCATTCCCAGCTCCTTTCTGGCAAGTGGCTGTTTGTTTGTTTGTTTGTTTTTTTGTGGCTTTTATTGGCTTTACGCGGCTTTTTGGCTTTCACTATATCTGCTTTCCCAGTTTCCTTGGCTTGCCGCATCCTCAGCATCACCAGTTCCTCTCTGGCAAGTGTTTTTTTGTTTCATATATATATATATATTAATGTTTTAGTTGTTGTTTATGTACGTGTGTATGTAATGTATGTAGGTAGGTAGCTGTGTATGTATGTATGTCTGTACGTGTGCACTTCTTTCTTCGAACATCTTGGGGGGGCCCCCCGCTACTGTTTAGATTTTTAGAGAGATTGACATGCACCCCTTGTTGAATCATCATTTGTTCGAACATGATGGAGGGTATTTTTGTTCTTCGTCTTGACCAGAAAAATGTTGGAATTTACCACAGTTTCTCACGAAATGTACGTATGTTCCTGTCAACATCCTCAGCATCGTTTTGAACATCCCCCGCATGTCCCGCCAACATCCCCAGCATCACCAGCAGATCGTCGGTAGCGGTTGCCTTGGCTTCCCACATCCTCAGCATCCCCAGTTCCTTTTTGGCAAGCATTTTTTGTGTATGTAGGTAGGTATGTATGCATGCATTTCAAGAAGCAGCCGGGGGGGGGTTGGGGGGGGGGTTGGGCCCCCCTCCATCGTCGAAAAAGTGATGATTCAAACAGGGGTGCAATTCCATCTCTGTAGCAAATCAACAAGCTGTGTGTGAACTGCGTGGCCGGCTGCGTGTGCAATGCTGCAGCCTTTTTTGCTACTCAGCTCCCGGCCTTCGAATCCCGTACCTTGCCGCTATGTTCAATCGCCTATTCAGAAAAAGATGGAGCAAAGCGCCGAGTTTGTGCGGCGAACTTGGACCAGTGAACCTTTTCTTGGTCCTGGAGGTTGCTCGGCAACTTGTTTGCTTCCTTTTTTCGTCGGTTTTTGCTGTAGTCAATCTTCGCCTCCATGGCTTTGGCTTGGTTTCATCTTGCTCCCCTACTCCTTCCCCTGTTGATGTGTACCCGGCTGCGCCTCCCAAGCATCGCAGGCCATGGATTATGAAGGTGTGTCCAACACCTTGCACGAGTACTACGCGCATGAGACCTTGGCCCTGCAAGCCATGAACGCGCCCCTTGTCAAGCTTCGGCAGCGCTTTGACCACTTCGCATGGCCTCGTGCCCCATTTGGTCATTGACCTCGTTTGAAAGCAACCCTCGGTTAGCCTCGGTTGTTGCTCATTCACGGGGCGTCTGGTTCTGCTTACCCTCCTTGCGCCGTTTCAAGAAGACCAACAAGAGTGGCTTGAACACGATTATTTAAGAGAACGCGGCCCCCTTCGAGCTCTGGCTCAACCATGCCAACCTGCAGGGGCACGTGGATGGCTGCCTCGACCGCGAGGTTGTGCCTAGAGAAACGTTGTATGGAGCTCGTGTAGTGAATTTTGCGTAGAGAAACTTACGTACAGAGCTGGTGCACACTGAAGAGCTTCTCAAATTGAAATCTTAATTTCTATTGCGGGGAGAAGCAAGAGCTTGCGCTTTGCAGCACCAGAGTGCTGCGGGCGTTCCCACTTCACAAAGGCGGTCGGGATCACTGTGGCAGGGCTCCAATTCAGGCTACCAAGCGCGGAGTTCTGGCTGTCCCAGCCTTAGGCCCGCAGCCGGCAATGACTCCGCCAATGGTGCCCTTCCGCAACGTGCGACCTCGAGTGCCTTGGCCGAGGAAGACGGGGGCTTCAGGATTGTCAAATCTATCGAATCCCAGCGAACAAGATCAACTGATGGCAAACCTCGAGGAGTTCGCGATGCCAGGCTCTTCTCCAACATCTTTGCTGGGTGTAAGTTATGTCTCATCAATTTGCGCGCATGTTTTTGAAGCCGACCACGCATTTTGACAGCGCTGCTTTGAACATGTACAATACTATAACAAGTGTTTATGTGTTCGCGGGTTTGCTATTGACGTGCTTGTGGGTGTGCAGCTTTGCGTGCTTGCGTGTTTGCATGCGCGCGTTTTTGCGTGTTTATCTGTTTGTCTGTTTCTCTGTGTGTGTGTGTTTCTCGGTTTGTCTGGTTGTCTATTTGACTGATACTGCTTGTCTCTTTGTTTGTTTCTGTGTTTGTGTCTGCGTCTTTGTCTATGTCTCCATTCCTGTCTCTGTGTCTGTCTCTGTCTCTGTGCCTGCTAGCTCTGCCCCTGTCTTTGTCTCTGTTTGCGTGTCTCGTGGGGCTATGTGGCTTTTGGGGGCTTGTTCGGCTTTGGCTATATCGCATCCTCTGCATTCTCAGTTCCTCTCTGGCAAGTGGCTTCTTGGCTTTCGCGGCTTTTGTTTTGTTTCTTTGGCTTCGGCTTTCGCATCCTTTGCTTTCCCAGTTCCTCTCCGCCAGGTGGCTTTTTCGTGTTTGTGGCTGTTGCGCGGGTTTCTGCAACTTTTGGTGGCTTTTTTGGCGTTGGCTTTTCGCATTGTCTGCTTTCCCAGTTCCCCTCCGGCAGGTGACTTCTTGGCTTTGGCAGCCAGTCTCTCCAGCAAGCGTTTTTTTTTTTATTATTTAGGTGTTTTAAATGTTTATGTTTGCGTTCTATGTATGTATGTTGTACGTATGCAGTTCTTCGAACATCTTGGGATCCCCCTTTTCATTTGCTCCAGGTTGAACCATTGCTTGTTCCATCATTGTGGGGGCTTGCCCCCCCCCTGCTTTTTAGTTGTTATGAAGTACACGCGCCTCTAGTCGAACCATCACTTTTCGAACATCATGGCGGGGCAGCCATGAAAGAGATACATGCGCCCTTTGCTGAATCTGCAACCTATGTATGTATTTATGTATGTATGTACGTACAATGTATGTGTGTATACGCTTCTGCGAACATCGTGGGAGGTGCTGCCGCCCTGCCCTCCCCCCCAAACCCTCCGCTGCGTTTTAGAATTAACATGTCATACTGGTTGAATCATCACCATCGGCTTTTGCATTTTTCTTTATTTTTGGCTGGTGGCTTCTTGGCTTTTGCAGCTTTTGTGGCTTCGGAATTTCACATCCTCTTTTTCCCAGTTCCTCTCCGGCAGGTGGTTTTTTCGTTGTGTTTTTTTCCGCAGGTTTATGCGGCTTTTGGTGGTTTTTGTGTCTTTGGCTTCTCGCATTGTTTGCTTTCCCAGCTCCTCTCCGGCAGGTGCCTTCTTGGCTTTGGCAGCCAGTTCCTCTCGGCAAGTGTATGTGTTCATGTATGCAATGTCATGTCATGCAATGAACGTAATATATGTGGAGTGCCGGAATCGTGAAATACGCGGGTGGGACCGTGAATTGGGAGGCCGGAACCGTGAAAACCGTGAGATTGGATCTGGTTCCTACTTTTGGGAGCCGAGCTTGGTTCCAAGAGGACGTGAACGTCCTCATTTCTCCTCCCCTTTTATACCATACCCATGGGTTCATATGATGAATGATTAACCCTTTGCCATACTGTACACAATAGGCCATATAGGAGTTTCCGGGGGGGGGGGGGAACTACATCCCGTTTTACATTCCGATTTGCATTCCCTACACATCACAGCATGGTTTTTTTTTTAATCCACCGGCCGGCGAGCGAGCGAGCGAGGGTGTGGCGCTAGGACGTGGCAGGGCACGCCCTGGCGCTGGGGAGCCTTCCGGAGGGAGCCATCGTGGGGCATCTCTGGGAAGATCTGAAGGAGAAGGCGCACCAAAGCCGAAGCGGAGCTGAGAAAACTCGGATCTTTCCAATGGGAGTGGATCAAAAGGTCGCTTTGTTGCGATGATGGAGCACTTTCCGGAAGACATATTGGTCAACCGCCATATTATGGGTTTGTGTGTGTGTATTGAGAGTGCCGTTTTTTTTTGGGTTGGTTGAAAAGGGAATCCAAAGGAACCATCCATTTTTGGGGAACCCCTATTTTGGCCATGTGGGTGTTTCTCAAACCAGTTTTGCAAAACAGGGGAGGTCCTTCTGTTTTCCTTTTTAAATGCCAGCCAAAAGGGGGTCCACCATTTGGGAAACTGCCAGATAAGCTGCGAATCCCAAAGCGAAGGTGAAAAAAACGAATTCCCTATGGACGAAGGACTAGTTGTGTAGAACTATAGAACCAAATTGTATGGATTTTGGACTATGGATCCTCATTGAGCTTCCCTTGAAAGCTTCTTGTCAGGCGAACAAAAACACACACCACGTCTTTTTAAACGCAAAACACCACGCGGGGGGCGGGGGGGTTCGACTCGACTCGGATTTGTCGCCTGGTTCGGTCTGAGCGGCAGGTGGTGGCGCCGCTCTGCGAGTTCTTGGCGCAGGACGAGGCCTTCAAACTGAACTCCCAGCAATGCGCCCGCGCGCTCAGCGGCCAGCAGGTGCCAGCGGGTGGGTGCCGCGGGTATACCTGACGTGGGGATTTGGTGGGATCTAGGGGGGGGGAACGTGAAACCATGGGAAAACTCCTAAGCACACAACTCCTCCCATGGCGTTTTCCGGTGGCTTCCCATGGCTTCCCTCTTGGGCCCCCCCGCCCTTGTTGGATTCCGTGAGCTGAGGTCCAGCTCTCCGCGAAGCTGCGGAAGGTGAAGTTCATCGCTGTGCAGCTGGACGAAGCCTCCGGCGCGCGCGCCCGGCGAAGCTTCCCCCGAGCGGCACCGGAACCATGGTGTTGTTTCTTGCGTAGACTGGCAGGTTGCCACAAGGGAGTGGTTGGGGCTGTTCGTTCGTTGCTTGCTTGGGCGGGGTGGGAGCATCCCACTTTGCAGTTTGCTTTTGGTTCACCTTTTGAGCCGCGAGAGGGGTTTGCCCACTTGAACGCCAGCTGTTCGGCCTTAAGCTTTCCTTTTACGGGACATCGCCCCATGATTTGAGGCACCTCCCCACCTTCAAAGAGCGCAATCTCCCATGAAGAAGGTAGTTTGCTCGGCTCAGGCGCGAAATTTGAGGCTCGCAGTTCCGCGCATCCCACGCATTCCACTCATGGCAGGCATACTTTAGTGGCGCCCTGGCGAATTTCGCTGGTGCTGAAAGAGCATCGCCCGCCCATGCCTGCAGCTCAGAGTGTGAATTGAGGAACAGCCAAGCCATGACCCGCGTCGTTTTTTAAGGAGACTTAATTTTGAGTTTGTTTGAATCAACAGATTGTTAAAGCTGTTTAAGGATCAAAGGCATTTCCAGTTGTCGGTTTTGGAGGTATGGATGCTTGTGTACCACTACGAGCTTGTAGCCTTTGTACCACTATTTACCTCCACACCTCCAAAAACCCTACCTGCAAATGCGCCAACCCTTTCGGACCCAGGCCATCGATACCTGATGGATCCCCTGAAGCCTTGGAGTCACCAAACGACCACTATAAAATCGAGGCGAATCACCCTATATAAGTATATATATATATGCATATGTATACACGCGTAATCATATAGGGATAAACGTGTGTGTGTGTGTGGTGTGTGTGTGTGTGTCTTTGCATATGTGTTTTCTTGTTTGTTTGTTTGTTTGTTTGTTTGTTTGTTCGTTCGTTTGTTTGTTGTGTGTGTTCGTTTGTTTGTTGGTTTGTTTGAGGGTACCCCCTTTTGGGGTCGGCCGACAAGGGAAACAAGGGAGCAACCACAATTTTGGGCTCACCCATTTTGACACATACCCAGAGCCGTGGCTCACATGCGAGGGGCGCGCGAAAAGTTAGCGCTCGGAGGTTTGCACTTCCAGGATATCTGGCAGACCACGCCGGCGCCTCAAGTGATCCAAGTCCCGCGACGTCGGTTTTGAATTGCAAGCCCTTTACAGGTTGTCTTCACGGAGAGGTTTTTTTTTTTTGGGGGGGGGGGGGACGAGAAGGTTCAACTCACAAAACGTCCACTGAACAAACCATGGCCTAATTTCGCAGTGTTTTGACCGCCGCGCATGACGTGGGGACGGGTTCATTTCGGGGGACTCCAGAGTCCAACAATTCATGATCTTCCTTTTGGCTTAAACCAACCGGACGCATCGCTCCCCTAGCAAAAGCAAAACAAAAACATATCCTTGGCTTTCGCGCGCCTCGCAGTCGCGCGTTTCTGTCCGAGAGGTTCCGCTGCTGCGCATGCTGGGTGTGCGCGATGCAGTGGAGCTGCCGGACTCCGTGCAAGAGGCGGACGTCTCCAGGGCCCCGACCTCGGAGATGGAGAATTTGGTGGTGAGGCCCATTCCGATTGGGCGGTTCCACCTTATTATTATTTTTTGGGGGGGAAGGTTCCTACCTTATTTGGGAGGGGTATAGGATATGGTATAAGCCCGACCTCAGGGTGGTTGATCACTCGGGAAGCTCTTTTTGTGGTATCACGGAAGTGGTCATTCCCGTCCCTTTTTGTGGTATCACAGAAGTGGTCATTTCCCGCAGCCCTGTTCTACCTCATATGGGGGGCATAGCTTGCGGTCCGAACCTTGACTCCCTGCATTCCTGGACTTCAGTCACTTTGGTGGGTTTGGACCATTCTAGTGGTCAACAAAAAGTTTGGCAATTTTTTTGGCCAATCCGCTCAAGAAGTGAGTATATGAGGGGGGCTATAGTAGGCTGTCTAAACCTCGACAAATCACGCATGCTGAGCTTCAGGTAGCGGATGAGGCGATGACGTGGCTCTTCGCACACCCGCCACATTTCGTGGAAACTGACCCCGGAAGAATTCTCCTCTGCAGATGCGCTACAGCAAAAAAGCAAGGTCTCCTAGAATTGAGATTCCTCCAAAGATGAAAGCTGTTTGGGTTCCATTCCACTCTGCCGCGGAGAAAAAACGCCTCTGGCGTTCAGAATCTCTTTCCCGTCTAGCCTTGTGGATCTAACTGAGCTCTTCATGAGGGTCAATGTCCTTATAATTGACACACCCGAGAAAGGCCCTTTATTCTTTTACAGGTGGGCATGGGGCCTGCGTTTTTGAAAGAATCCTGCAAAATCTGGCACTCCACCATCTGTGCAAAATCCTTGAGTTTTGCAAAAGAACAACACAACACAACTGCAGACCCTATGTCTTGAAACGAGCACCGAGAAGTTTTCAAAAAGACCCTATCTGGTCTGTCCAGCCCCATATGGAGACTGCAGGTTTTTTTTCCCAGCCGACAGGTCTGGGATTGTTAGGGTTGGTAGATTGTAGGTGCCATCCGATCTCCACGCTCCGTCCCGCCCGCCGCTGGTCGACAGAGCCTGTGACAGACAGCTGTGACAGTCCGAAGCCTGAGCTCTGCTTTGAACGGTTGCTCTGCGACAGTCTGCTTCGCGCATCTTTGCTTCTTTTTTGCACAGCTCTGCTTGCGTAGCTATGCTCCGCGCAGGCTTGCTTGTCATGTGCTTTGCGCAGCTTTGCTTTGAACAGCTCTCCAGCCATGAAGTAACTCCGCGCGCGCCATCTGTGCGCACGTCACACGCTGCCAGGGCTTTGCTTGCGGGGGCGTTAGTTGGCATGGATTTGCTTGTGCGGTTAGTGTGAACATACATTGGCCTTGCGCGCTTGTGCTGCGCGCACCTTTGTTTCGCGTGGCGGCCCCTGACAGATGCAGTCCGTTAAACTCTTGCATACTGGCCTGCGTTGCAAATGCTAAATGGACCGTCGCGCAAATATAGCAAAGACAAAACATGCGCTTATGGCAGCATGGTGTGCAGAAGAAAAGATGAAGGAAAACAGAAGTTGGCACGCTTAGCTCACACATTCTGTATATCAAGGCTCAAGCCAGACGTCGTCGTCCGCAATGCGCCCAATGACCTGTGTCTATGATGAAATATGACTGCAAAGAGAGGAGGCCCCGTGCCCACCCGCTCTCCAAATGCTTATAGATGAATTTAGGCTTCAATTGGCCCGACAAAGCGCTTTCCGGATTGCGGCCCTTTCTTGGGGAGCAAAGGAGCAGATTTTTGACAAGGGGCCTACCTACCGGCAACAGAACTAGTGTCCTCAAAACACCTCCAACGACATGGACAGAAGTCCTAGCGATGTGAGCATCTGTCTTAAAACTCATACCCCGAAAATCCACACCCCCAAAATCAATGGATACGTTACACAGGGACCATCCAGGGTACCTCCCCCCCCCAAAACCCATTCTTCCAGCCTTGTAGGTGGAACATGTCCATTCGGGGTACGGAAGTAGGACCTTAGGGCTCCGTGGTGTGTTGCCAGGAGAACGGGCCATCGACCTTCTCTGACGTGACGGTTCGATGTGATGGGGGCTGCCTCTTCCTGCATCGAAACATCCTGATGGCCCGCAGCGAGTATTTCAAAGCAATGTTTCAGGCCCGGTCTCGCGACTGCACTCCCAGCTTGCCATGGTTTTCCTTTGGTTTTCCTGGCGATGCAGGCTCGAGGTCTTTTCTATTTCGCTCGGGGGTGATGTTGGAGGAAATGCAAGGCGCATCCTGATTGCAGGTTGCCGGAAACCTAGATTTCCGCTTAAAGGAACCCGCTGGTGCGTTCCAGTCGCAGGGGAATAAGCAGGTTTGCTTGCCTGCTTTCTAGCTTTTCTTTGCCTTGCCTTGCTTTGCTTAGCATTGCTGGCCTGCCTGTTCTTGCCGCGCCCGACTTGATCAGGGCGGCGACGATCACGGCTTTCGGGAAAGCCAGGAGTCGGGCGCAGAGGCCCAAGCCTCAGCCCTTTCAGCCGGTGAGAGAGTCACAGGGCCCGCCTGCCCAGACAAGAAACCAGCTATGGTACTCGTCAAAGGGAATTGGACACCGAAAATTGTGTGTTGTTTTTGCTGTTGGTTTTGTTAGATGCCAGAAAGGTTCTCTGAACCCTTCACTGGTAGGGGCCCTAGGACTTACCACTCCCTCAATGCGATCTGCGCGTGCGGCTAAGGGCACGACTCAATACCCAAGTTCCCCTTTTGGGATGGAACCGTTGACCGATCGGTCGATCACCAATATGTGCCAACTAGACCCCTTGGGCTCGAGTTTGAGACATATGAGCAGATCTTGGAGCAGCTGATGTCATGTTTTCTTCCGTGGAAGCCTGCTAGCAAGCTGAGTGAATGTGCGTGTTGCCGCCGGAAATTCCCCTCCCCTTCAGTCTCTTCAATTCCTGCACATGTGTTTTTGCATGCAGATCTTGCAAGTCAGCATTGTTCGTCAATAGGGAGGGTTGTTTGAAGCACGTCCGCGGCGCATTTGGGTAACATGTGTTTGGGCCGCCTTTTTGTGGCGGAAGACGGGTCCCGCCAGATGGCTCTTAAGGTCACGCTCTACGAATTCCCGCTGGAGGTGGCCAAGATCCTTTTCGGCGCCCTTGGCACGGTTCCATTAGAAAGGGCGGCGGGGGGGGGGGGGGGGGAGGTTGAGCTCACCGATGCGGGATGAAACCAGCGCAAGGCAGGATGTAGGTCCTTTACATGGAATCCGATTCTGTGGAAGAATTTGGCAAAAACCCATAATGGTTTTTGAATGTTTCGGACGCAAACCATTTCAGACAGGAACCGATTGTGTTTGGGGTTCACCTCTGGTTGAGTTTGATTGGGTAGTGGAGGCGAGTCCTCTACTTGATTTCCTTTTTTTCTTCTTCTTTTTTTCGAGGGTCGGGAACGGATCGGGAGATCCACGGTTGATTTTGATGGGGCACAAAGCGCCTTCGCTCATTGGGCTGGTAAACCCCTTTGCGTGGTTGATCCTTTTCAGAAGGGATGGGAAACAGAGGAAATGTGCGATCAAGCTTGATATGCTCATGGGAGGTATGGTTTTGGAGGATGCTGCACTTGCTTTGGGCGGGGCAGAACGGATTTAGTTTGGGATGAGGTGCACTCCCTTTTAGCGGGGTCGCTTCTTCCTCGTTTGAGGAAGCTAGTAGGGGATCCGGATCCATGTTGCAGGTAGAAGATGTATTTGTCGCAGTTCTACTCCTCCGAGCGGCCCAGCCTCATGGTGAACCGGGGCAATGTCTGGTATCATGCTGAAGTCACTTTGGCTTTGACTCCAATTGGTGGAAGACCTACAGCGGATGTCCCCTGAAGTTGTTCCCATATGGGAAACCAGCAAATTGCCGAAGGAACCCCAAATGTCTCCCCCAAGTATCAGCTAGTTTCGAAGATCCCGAGAGTACAGCATGTGGCTCTTGGATGTATCCAACCAGAGCCCTTCTCTTGGGACGGTGCTCCTACGCCTTCGGACACCGCCAGGCTACGTCTACCACGGCAAGGTAGACGAAGCACCTCTAGAAGGTTCAGATGGGACGTGCGCCACTTAAGGAGTTTGCAGATATTCCAAGGAGAGGCACTCGGGTTCCCTTACCCATTAGACATGTCTCAGAACCTTTCGATCAGAACCCTTCAGAAGGTTCTTGGCACCTCGTAGAAGCCTTTCAAGGTAATTAGGGGAAGCTTCGACTCACTCCCTTGGAAGCTTGATTGATGAACAAGCGCCTGGTGCAAACTTGGCAATCACCTGCAACAATGGACCCCGATTGCAACAACTGCAGCACGTGCAGCCGGTTCAAGTTCTGTGACTTTGGATGATACGGTCACTGAATCTTCCTGCTCTTTGGCTCGAAGGGCCAAATTGGGCGGCGGGCAAAGCCGACAGTTGGCCCCAGGCACATGACTTGGCAAGCGAAAGACCCCGTTTCGACAGAAAGTGGAGGCCAAATGGCGCTTGATGACATCCCTTTGGGGAACACAGCTTACTCTTGTGGGATCCATCTTTTGGCCATGCGTAGGATGCTTATCGAGCCTTGAATATGCCTACGTGATATAGGACATAGAACAATACTTTTTCTGAAAAGCCGCAGCTTGCCCAGCGTTACAAAGCACCATTGTTGTCGCCATGATTCGCCAGCAATTGCCACGCTTCTGTACGCTGTGCATCGCGAACGCCCGTTGCGGCCGTGCGGCCGCTATGTAGGGCGCGTCGCTTCAGATCGAGCCGCGAGCTGAGAGCTTCACCGTTGCTTTCTGTCAGGCCCTTCGCAAAACCTCGTGTTTTCCAGGGGCCCTTTCTGGGCTTCTCTCAAAACCTGGCCCTGCAAACTGGCCTCAAAAGAACTGTTTGGCCCTGCAAACTGGCCTGAAGAAAATTATGTTTCCTTGGCGCCCGGCTTCCTTTCGACTCGGCCTCTCCTTTTTTCTTTTGGGCCACGGCGCGGCCTGCGAAGCCTCCGGTTTTTGCCAAACTTCCCCGCGAGGTGCGGCCAAAGATGAGCCGCCTCTGCAAGCCCGGCCGGGCACCCCAACGCTGAGAAGGAGGAAAAAAGGCCCGTGGCTTGGACATCGACAAGTGGGTTGCTGGTTGTTTCCCGTTTTTGGCGGGAAGCCAGTTTTATGCCGTTTTTGTTTTTCTTTTCTTTTTTGCGAAAATCATATTGGTGGGTGTGAGTGCTTGTTGCCATGGCCACTGAAAGTCTGTGTTTATTTAGCAGCTTTGCTCCGAGCCTCGCAAAGTCGTAACAAGGCTTATGAACATTTGGGTATGGGAGGGGCAAACCGCAGGTTTTGGTCCATATTTCCACTTACCAGGGCAACCGATTTTGGTATCGGTTTTTTGAGCCACAGCCATTTGTTTCTGTCAGGGTCTTTGGAGCAATGGTGATTGAATATGTGGCGAACAAGTTGGACACCATCAGATTGGCGAGTTGGTGTCCTAGGTTGAAGCCGATCCGGCTTTTTTTTGTCAACAGGAGGCTGTATCCAAGCTAACCAAAGGAAGGTTCCTGGTTTCAGGCCGCTTTTCCAAAAGCCCTGTGGTTCTCTACTTGGCCGCCTCTCCGTGGTTGCAAATCGAGTCAACCCCGAAAGTCCCGCGACCAAGCCCTTCGGCGCGCGGGCCGCGCGGGCTTCCCCTCGTTGACCCGTGAGGCTGGCTGAAAACCCGAGCGCTGTGCACTGCTGTGGCGCGGAGCTCGGACGAGGAAAAGCGGCCTTCGGTGAATCCGCGAAGCGGCGCAGGTTACGGCGAGCCCAGCGCAGGTTACGGCAAACAATGGGACAGAGGGAAGTCAAAAGATATTTTTTCCGGCTTCCACAAAGCAGACATGTGTCACCAGTGTTGGCTCTCGACGGGGGGTCTATGAAACAATCGACATTCAGTGCTCAACAACTTGAGTGGCGCTGCAACGCAATCTGCAAGTATTGTTGGACTTTGCGCGCAGCAGCACCTGTCATGTTGCCAGCTCTCAGCGATGTGTTGTTGCAGAAATGGGACACATTGCATCTTTACTGTCCGGAGACACGCCAGCCACAGTGTTGAACTGAACATTCAAGGAAACGCTGAATCACTGTATACTTACGATTTGTAGTTTTTGGAGGGTGGGTACCCACATGTGGGAAGAAGCTTGAGTTCATTCGTAAATTACTACCTCTGGCAGCATGAGCCTTGTAATCTGAAACGCTGAAGACAAGGATGCTGCCGGCATGCAGCTTGTGAACCCTTCTTGCCCCAGAGCTGTCACCAGTGGCTGGCCAAGCCTGAGTTCAGCATTTTTGGTTTCACGACCAAAGAGGGCACTGCTAGAGCCAGATGTTGGCAAGGCTAGGCCAAGTTGTTGCTGGTTGAAACGCCACTGGTTCCAACCAGACTCTTGAGGATTTGAAGTACGCAGGGTGCTTTGACCCAAGGCTTCAAAAGATGAGCAACACTGGTTTCATTTGGTTTCCCTTGGCGCCAATGTTCTACCCCTTTGCTGTTCTTGAAGCCACCCTCAAGAGGCCCACCTGATTGTTTAAACAGGGAGTGTTTCCTTTGTTTTCCGAGGGTTCCAGTACCCTCTGTTTTGTGGTGTTGAAGGGAAAGCAGAACGAAGACCGAAGCCTTTTGGGAGGGTTCCTGAAAGGATGGCTCCCAAGTTGCCCTCCGCGCCCGGTGGAATCTCTGAGGCGGGCAGTGCTGTGCTTCTTTTGGCCGATGTGGAGCGGAGCTTGCCATCGCCGGCATTTGCAGGCCGGGATGCGCGGCAGTCACACACACGCACAGGCACACGGCAAGGCAGGCAGGCAGTCCAGGGCAGGGCAGGGCAGGCGGGCTGGAAGGAAGGGAAGGGAAGGGAAGGGAAGGGAAGAAAGGATCGGAGCCACGGTAACGGCCACTGTCTCCAAATAGATCTCCCACATTGATTGGTTTTTTGTGCATTGGTTTCCTTTTGGGTACACTCCCTTTCGATGACCACATCTAAAGCCCATCTGTTTTCTCAGCGGAAGATTCCGCCTAGGAAAGGGCCCCAGTTGTTGTGCTTGTTTTGTTTTTCAGGTTAGCCATTAAAAAAAGTCAAGCTTTCAAGTGATAAAAGTGCGGGGATGGATCTTCGGTGCGAGTAAGTTCCGCGCCCAGTGCGAAAAATGCCGTCGGATCTCGGGCGATGGCGCCGAGTCGCAGGCTTCGGCGCGGAAGGTGCCCGTCTGGCCCTGGCCATCGGAGCCTTCGAGGCCGGCCATGGGACATATTTCTGCATTCGAAATGGTGTAAAATCCGTTTGGCCCCTTTCCACAAAAACACAAACACACACCCCAAAACAGCATGCCGCATTTTTGTTTGAGGCGGAAAGGTCCTGAAAAATCAATCCCCCCCCCCTCCCCAGAAAGAGAGGTCAACATGTTATTTTCGAAGGGGGGTGGCGCCCTCTTTCGTTGAATTCCCTTTGGGTTATCCTGCGGGGTTTCCTTTGTTCCCCCATTGGATTTCCCATTTGGTTTTTCTCCCTTTGGGTTTGCCATTGTTGCTGCTTTAGGTGTGATATTTCTGGAGTTTCTCCTGTGATGTCCCCTTTGGATTTCCCCTCTAAGTCTCCTTTGGATGTCCTAGTGGGTTCACCCCAAGATTTTCCTCGAAATGTCACTTTGGATCCGTCAGGGTGTTCTGCAGACTGCTGGCTCATGTTCCAGGGGCTTATGGAAACCGTATGCACGGACAACCAAAACGCCAAACAAAGAGGAACCCACGTGTGCAACAACATGGAACTGCGTACACAGGGCAAGAACGCTGCGAATCGGAAGGGGCGCGGCCTGGTTTTGGAGCGCATGCCTCCAGGTGTTTCTGCTGGGCTTCCTGTACTTGCTGAAGCAGCGGCGTGGCCCCAAATGGCAGGCGTGGACACGAAGTCAAGTCTGGAGCGGTGCCGCACGCTGCCCGGTTGAGGGGGGTGTTGGGTTTAAGGGAAACCAAATGGGAACCAAAAGGCGGACCGTGATTTGGGTGTCCCAACCCCCCTATGACACAGGCCCAAGCAGTGCCAGGCGGCTAACTTTTGCTTTTTGGATTTTGCAGTGTGGCATTGCCATTCGGTGCATCACCTTTGTGCCGGGTTTTTGTTCGCAGGGTGCGAACATCAAAGCGCTGGCGCCATGCTTGGCCACCGGCCCTCGACTTAGAGAGGCTCGAGCCGCTGAGCGTCTTATGGTCAGCGGCAGCAGTGGAATCTTCCAGGGCGATATCAGTCCTTAGTGGAATTCTATCGGGCGCTTGACAACCAGAATACTTGGCACCCCATTTTGCGTGCGACCTTGGAAGGCTCGGGCATTACCCTTGCATACATTGAGAAACAATCGGAATGGATGGGTTGGGGTTCCCCCGGTTCTCCAAGAGTCAGCCAGCATTTCCAGAAGCGTAGCGCTGCGAGGATTTTGAGCCAGAGAGCAACTCTGGGTAATAAATAACCGATCGCTTTCACTTTACCCAAAGTGAAGCCAACAGGTGATGTATTTTTTTCCAGACCCCCCTAGCCCTTAGCGCACCCAGGACTGTTTTAACTGCATCGTCCGGCCTAAGGATGGATCATCCGATTTCTTTGTCCTGTTCCAGCGGGCGTCACCGAGCAGGCCGTTTCGAGAGTATTGACCCAGCCGGAGTTGATTGTCCTGTGGCCATGTTTTGGTGCGTTTGCGTGTTTTTGTTCCATGGGTTTTGGGACCCCAACATTGCCCCAGTAAGATCAAGCCAGCCATGCGACTATGAAATTCAAGAGCTGGAGCCACCTCAAAGTGGTTGGTGGACAAAACTCCCGCCGAAATGTCCACCAAAGCATCCGTGATCGATGCCAGCAAACCCTAGTTGGGTGTGTCGCAGCATGGGGGGGGGGGAGCGGTTCTCACCAGTTTCCCTTTAACAAACGGGGCAGGGTCCGGTTCTGGTTTCCACGTGGCCCATTTTTGCCTCAGCCAGGCGGGTCCTTCAGAAAGTGAGTTGTAACTGTAGCGCAAAGCATCAAAGCGCACTTTTCTTGTGCAGGCTTTGAAGTGTTCTTTGAGTCTTCGGTCTGTACGACTGTTGGGCACCTCAAGAAGGCCAAGGGAACCCTTCCAATGCAGATCGCTCCAATGAAGGGTCCAATGATGCTTAGGCTGAGTCAAAACTGTCAAAATAGGGGTACCCCAACAAGGGCGGTTTTCCTTTCCCCTCCAACACAAACACGCAGACGCAAAGACGCAGACACACAGACACAGACGCGCAGGCACGCCTGCATGCACCCACGCAGGCGCACACACACACACACAGACGCACCGAGGCGCATATATACGCCGTATGGGGCCTAAAGGTTCGGTCAGGCCTGGTCCATGCTCGCCATCTTCGTCGCGATGATTGTGGCGGTGGCCAGTGGCTCAGGGGTTTGCGATTTCCCGGGGGCAAAGTGGGCGCCAGACGCAGGTTCCGTATTGGTACATGAGGTTTGCGACATGCTCACTGAATCACCGCCAAAAACCTAGGGGATGTGATCTACATATTTTGACCGCGGCCGCGGGTTGCGCGAAAAAAGTCGCCGATGGCTCTTTGGCCGATGCTTAGAGCTGCGCAAAGAGGCCCATGCTCACCACAAATTTGCCGGCCATGAGCGGGGATTTGACAAGCGTGACGGTTTCCTAGGGTTTCCTTTCAACTGTCATTTTCAAGCTTTGGCAACCCTAAAAACCTTAAGTTTTTGTCTTTTTTGGGCCACATGATGCCAGACCGGGGTTGCATAGGCATTGAGGCCCATCTTTACCCGACATTCGCAGAGCTTGCCTGAGGCCTGGGATCCGCAAGTGAACCATGACTCTCTTTTTTGCAAACTCATCCAAAAGCTGTGCTTCAGTTTTAGTTCTGTCAGGCTCCCATGTTTTTCACCCTCCAGACTTGTTGTACCCTTCCTTTGTGTTGACCCTCAAACCCTGCTTGGGAACCGTCTGCAAGAACCTTGTTTTTTTTTCTTTTCTTTTTTCTAACCCTCCGAAATCCTTTCTGTTCAACCCCTGCGCCGCCTTGTGCTTTGTTTCCCACTTCCGGCGTTGTTTTTTTAAATTTTTTCACCCACGAGCACCAACAGCCCACCCTAAACCCGACCTAAAATAACCTAAACCCACCCTACACCCAGCCCAAACCAACCCCAGGCCCGCCCTAAGCCAAACCTAGCCAACCGCAAACATCTTTAAATCAAGCTTAAACCAACCATAAAAACGCACGCCAAACCAACCCAATCCCACCCTGCAACCCTACACCAACCCAAAGCCAAGCCTACACCTGCCACAGACTTACTCTAGACCGCCCAAATCCAACAAAACCCACCGTACCCTACCCCCAGCGCATCAACCCTAAACCTAATGCAACCCTACACCCTAGGCCGATGAAGCCCTGCGACAAGCCCTAATCCCACCTCTAAACCACCACTAGGTTAATCCAACTCTAAACCCAACCCTGGCCTCACCCTGAACCCATTCTAACCCACCCTGGACCAACCCTAAATCCACCTCAAACCAACCCTGTAGACCCGCCCTTAGCCAATCCTAGGCCAAGGTTGGTTTAGAAGAGGCCTGTGCTGCAATGCAAAGTCGATGTGTGGCGTGATGCAACAATTTCCTGAAGCGCTGAGGTTCGGTCAACATTTCCCACTGGCCTATGATCTATATTTAAGACGGGACATGGGGAGACTCACTAAGTGACGAAAGATCACTAATTGTCCCATGCCCCTCTGGGCAAGCAATTTTGACGGTGGCTCACATGAGTCAAAGGAACTCCCCCCCAATATAAGGGGCTGGCCCAAAAATATGTAGTTCCCCTGCCTTCATATCCACAAGGAGTTGTTTCGATTTTGCCCAAAAGGTGTCGCCCGAGACCTTCGCAAGACTTACCCCAAAGGGGCCCAGCTAGAGGGTCCAAGTCTTGAGGTGGTGGGACCCTTGCCGCCGGCCGCTGTGGCCGTGGTGGCCGTGTCTGCAGCGGCACCCTGGGGATGGGCTTTGGGTTTGGCGGTGCCGGAGAGTTGCAAACTTCTTTAGGGTATCGGCATTTGCAGGGCTTGCTCCCGGCACAATGGCCCACAGAACCTTGTAGATATCCACCCCTCCAACCTCTCCATTTGGGATGGTGCATGAGAATGTCCTGCGCAAGGCTTGAACCCATTCGTTTTTACGCACCCAAAGGGTTCCCTGTTCCATGCAATACCCCTCCAGAAGGGAATATCCGGGTTTTTGGACACCAAAAAGGTCAACCGCCAAACTCTTGCAATTCATTTATTCGAACCATCGCATCAGCACCCAGAGATTCCTATGGTTCCTGTGGTTCCTTGGGTTCGAGCCAGGTATTCACTGGCACCGTGTCTCTGGCGCAGGGTCTTAAGGCCTTCACCGATGAGGCGCGAAGCGACACTGCTGGAGTTTTGCGGCACAGGCGTTTGTTTCTGAAGAAATGCGGTGTGTGTGTGTGTGTGTGTGTGTGTGTGTGTGTGTGTGTGTGTGTGGGTGCATTTTGTGCTTGAATGTTCCTTCCCATCCTTCTCTGTGTGCGTGTGTGTCTAAGTGCATCTCCGCAGTTGCTCATTTTTCTGGTCCCCCCCATCACGACTTTCGGCACTCTTGCTGGGCTCCATCGGCATCTTTCCTCCCATCAAAGCCTTTGCTCCGCTACTCGCCGCATAGCACCAGCTCTTGCCAGCACCGACGCAAGACATGATCAAGGTGTATGCAGAGCTTCTGCCCCCGGAGCGCCTCAGACCACAGGGGATAGGGGAGGTTGGAGTTCGAAGCTGGGCGAATTGACACATGGACACCTCCGCGTAACACTCATCACGCATGTGGTTCCCTCCCGGATGGCGTTGGCGATTTGAAGGAGCACTTCCGCACCAAGCACTTGGGTGCACTCCCGCAGCGACTTGCAGTACCAATTTGTTTTTGTTTCAGACGCTGGGGACCGGGAGTGACAAGCAAAAGGAAACCAGTCAGACCATAGCCTCGGCCAAGGATAGATACTGCGAGGCAAATCGACCGAAACCCTGACTCTCCCATGTTCGAGGTTGCCTCCCATGCGAATTCGGAATCTGACCGGAGGTTGCACAAGTTTTATCTCAACCGATTGGACACGTACTGGGTGGTTCCCAAACTAGTGGCTCCCGCAAACACTGTGGGTTCCCTTTGACTTCCATTTGCTTAAGAATATTTGTTTTTTGATTTTCCACTGTTGGTTGTAACGAGAATCTATCACTACTGGAAATATATATATATATATATATATTTGCAAAGGGGTCTTAACCAAAGGGAAGTTGAATTTCCCTTCAAATACCAAAAGAGTTGGCTTTTCAGCAATCCATTTTGAGAAACCCTCAAGTAGCTTGGTTTGTCCACCCCAATTTGCTCATTTGCTCGTTGGCGTTTGTGTTCTCCGCTGACGGGCCCAAGGGCTGTGTCGAACCTTGGCTACAACTCTTTTCATGGTTGTTGGGAAACCTTTTAAACTTTGCTTCTTGTGGTGTAGTGGTTGAAATCCAACCACTGAGCTGCTAAAAAATGAGGATTGCTTTGCTTAAATCCACCCACTGAGCTGCTAAAAATTGAGGATTGTGTTCTGCTAATTGTTTTTTTTGCTCCCCCCAACCCAACGTAACGTCCACCAAGTGGCCAGGTGGTTTGGCTGGTGGTCATCGCTTTCTTCTTTGCCGAGGGCTTCCAAAAGCGCGGGCCTCACCGAGCGATCAGCGCCCAGCCGGAGACGGGAGACCCAGCCCAAGCAGCCGTCCAAGCCGAGCGCTGTTGGGCAAAGGTCACCCTGGGGTAGGTATGCAGCGAACGGCTGAAGAACAGGGGAGCTACAAACCACACCAAGTCCTTTGCGCATACATAATATATGACTATATGAGTCAGGTCTGAAGGCCCCACCCCGGTACTATTGGTTGGTTGGTTTGGTTTAGTTTTTTCATTGTTTATGGCTTGGGTTAAACAAAAAACATTTGCGTTGGCTGGTTTCGGCTTGGGAAAGGGCTTGATTTAGGATTGGTTGGTTTAGTGATTTAGGTATGGATGCTTTCGGGTTTGGGTGGTGCGAGGTTAGTTGGCCTGTGCTGGGTGGGTGTGGGGGTGGGGCAGGGTGAGCGGGCTTAGGATTTGGGCAGGGTTCTCAGAGGAATACCCAAGCGAAAACCCACCACGTAGCTCCACATGTTTGAAACCCGGTGATTCCAAAGGCAGATTTCCACGGCTGATCTCGGGCGCTTGGGCCTGGGCCCGATCCGATCCCCGTCAGGACGGGGCTAGGGGACCGCATCGCTCTGAACGTGATCCGTTTCATGGGCGGCACCACGTCGGGGGCCCAGGGGAATTGGCCCAGGAAACGCGAGTGATGTTTAACATGGGGAACCTGGACCTGTCGGATTGGGAATGAGGACAGTGGGATGACTCACCAAGAAGGGAAGCGGTTTTTTTCAGGTGCGTGCTGGGCTTTCCAAAAGGGACTTTCACAGGCAAGCGGCCGATTTTGGGGGTCCCAATTCTGAGAGCGATGGAGAGGCCACTGGCAACAGTCTTGCTCGCAGGTTCAGTTGCATGCCTCTGTAAGTTAACTCTTCCAGAATCCAAAAAGGGGGAAATATACTTAGGAGGTTCCTTTGGTGCTTTTCTGGGTTCCTTTTTTTATGGGGAGGTATTTTGAAGCAGTTTTGGGTCATGCAGACCAACCTCTATTCCAGCCGACCCATCTGGGTGACCCGAACCCGGAGAGGGGGAGACTTGCGGAAGGGAATTCAAGGAGGAGACTCCGTGGGAAAGGACGCACCCAATTGGTTGGGCACAATTCGTTAATCTTGCGATCGCTGCGAGAAGTAGGGAATAACAAAAAGAGAAATGGAATGATCTAAATACCTGGGGGTCACCTGAAAGGAAACCACCAGTTTGATGGTTCATAAGGGTCATTCCTTTTTTCATCCCGGCTGAGCACCAGCAAGTAACTTGCAGAGCAGTGGTGGTGATTCTTAGTTGGAACATCCTGGGACAAATCTGATTTTTTATTCCCCACGCCCTTGAGAGAAGGAATCAAAAGGCTGATTTGATGCACAAATCCATAGGGTGTACCCCCTCAGTCGATGAACAAACCCCGTAAGTCCTGGTTCACGTACCTGGGTTTCTACCCAAGGACAAGCCCCGATTCACAATAAGCAACCAATCGCAGTTCAGCGTGCTTGGTTTCTCTGGCATAGTTACCAATATGGCGTGGGGATTTTCAAATCAGGACCGCCCTCAAACAATCCCCACCACATTCTGTCCAAAGGGACCCACTGGTTGGCTTAGGTTTACCAAGTTTGGGCCCCAGGAGTTGCCCTCTGCCATATCTACCAAAATATTTACTACCTACTGTAACTTATTATATGCCTATAGTTTACCATTCACCGCAAGTTGCCGTAATTTACCGCACTTCGCAAACCCGAGCTTTTGCATACGCAGGCGGCTTACCCTGCCTTTGTACCATGGCTTTGCGGTATTTACTGGGTGCAGTAAAGTGACACCCTCAAAGACTTATCTCTCAATGGTTGAAAGGAATTTTGCAAAAGAACCCCCCAAGATGTAACCATTTGAATTGAATGGTTGAAGGAATTTTGAGAGCCCCTCAAGATGCAACCATGTTCCAATAGCCCCAGTTTTGGGTGCGGACCTGCACTCACTTTGCAGCCTCTACTCGCCGAGGCTGGGCTTGGCCTATGGCCTGAACTTCGCAGAGCTTCTGGTGGCAGCGGCCATGCCCTGCTCGGCTGCGCGCGCCCATTGGCCGAGAGGTGGGGTTCCTTTTCGGCTTCCCAAACCTGCAGTTTCCCTTCGGTTTCCCTTTAAAAGAAGCCTAAAAAGGGCAGCCGTTTGTCAATATAGGGGTCCTTATACCATGTGCGTCCTTTTTGGAGTTGGATCCATTTTTTGGGCGGTTTGCTAAAAATGCAAGGTCCCCCTATGTTGGTTGAGACAGACCCACATGACTTCAAGGTCATGATCGACTTTTTGTAGGTATGGAGCTTGGGTATGTCTTAGAATAGGGGACACCCAGCTTTGGTTGGAAACCTGTGGTTTGCCTTTAAAACCAGCCCAAATAGGATTCCCTCACAAGTAGACACACCCATTTATCTCGAAGCCTTCGGCTCGTCGGCGGGTTCCCGAGGCGGCTGCGGTGTTCTATCCCATCACCAAGTCTGCGGATGTCTCGGATGCAAAGCGCTTGCCGCTGCCGTCGTGGTTTTCTCTGTCCCCACAAAATTTGGTGGGTGAACACTTTCCTCCGGGTCAGAGTCAGTTCTCCGTTTTGGTGGGGAAGTGGTTGCTTCCCTGCAAATCAAACAATTAGGAGAATTTGGGGTCCTTTCCCCAAAAGGAGCTACCGTTCCTAAAAATGTCTGCTAATCTGCAGCAAGTAAGAATCACCCTTACCAGCAACGGAAACGCGCTGTTTAAAACCACCGAACGGGGGGGAGATATTAGAACTTGCGTTTCTCTCTAGGGGAAGCCTCAAACTTGGTGATCTCCATTGGGTTTCTTGGCCCAAAAAGGGTATCATCCAAAAACGACATCCCCATATATGGGTGTGTCTTAAACTGGGGGGATACAAAACAACTGGTATTTTCTAGGTTTCCCTTTAACCCCAAACGCGGGTACCAGCTCCAAAAGGGCCATCCCCATACATCAGGAGCTCCGGTTCGACTGAAGAGCTGAGGTCTGCAAGGCAAGTGGATCAGACCCCAGCCAGGCGCGAAGGGAGAGACAAATCCACTAAGTTGTTTGGCGCTTTGTTGGGCATTCCCAAACCGCACGTCCCATTGAGCCTCTCACGGCGAAGCCTCTCGCAGGGGACCGAGTCGAAGTGCGCGAAGTTTCTGGTGCAGTGCTGCTATCAGGCCACGGCCGTGTCAAGAGAGCGCCTCCAAGGGCTGGGTGTGGTGGTCGTTTCCCTGCCGCCTACCTGTTCGAATATCCCCGAAATGCGGTGGGTTTGCCTTGGTCACGCCCAAAACGGTGCACCCTCAAAACGACAACACCCCAAAAGAGTCGCCGGGCTGTGGAACTTCAGGCGACTGCGACGTCCTCGTGCATGTTCCTGACCGGCGCGGCGCAGAACTACTTCGTGCTGAAGCTGGCGGCCGACGTGCGGGTCCCAGCGTGCCAGCGTCCGAGGTCTCGAGACCGGGGGTGAGTGGGGGTCCCGCAATTGTTTTCCGCCATTTTGCTGGTAATGTCGAGCCCATATTAATCAACCCCTGTTTATGAATAGGGGGGCGTTTCCCTCCAAGAGTGATGATTCCCTACTAAACAGACAGAGAGAAACATGAGGTTCGCTCAGAACTGATCCGTTTGATTCGTTTGATTCGTTTGATTCGTCTGATTCGTCTGATTCGTCTATGGTCAATTGGAAGGAACATGGGGAAACTCAATCTTAGCCACAAAAGCCAGGGGACAGATTAATTTGTCCATGTTCTGTTTGACTCGAAAAACAAGTAATTCTGACTGTGGCCCAGATAGGATCGAAGTGGAATGGGTGTGTCTTTGAGTGCAGGGAAATAAAACGGAACCCCAGTTTTGTAGGGCGGCACTCCCGAGTACTTTTTTATATGTCACTATAGCGAACTAAGCCATACTACTAGAATTGAATCATTTCATATGCACCCTCGCCGGCAAGATGATCTTGATAAGAGGTAAATTCCCATGCTGGGGAGTTTACATTTCCCTTATTGGTGTTGTTTTGCGTTTCAACCCACGCCACAAGATTCAAAGGGCTTCGCCATTCTAGGTGAGTTTGTGCACCTTGGGCTCTCAGACAAGCGCAAGGACACCGAAAGGGTTGGAGGTTCCCTGTGGAACACCTCCCCAGTTGCGCAGTGGCTCCCGTGTGTTTTGTTTGTTTGGCTGGCTTCCAGTGAAAAGATAATATATTCACACGCTGACGCGACACAGCCGGCCACCGGGCACCTTGCCCTGCCCGTTCTGTTCTGTCACTTCCCTTTCCGGTAAGTCCGATGAGTAGATGTTAAGATTTAAAAATAAGATTTAAAAATTCTAAACACTTTGAGATTCTAAGGGTCTCAGATTTGAAGACTTTTGGAATTTAAGGCTTCAATGGTTTAAGAATTAAGGTTTTAAGATTCAAAGACTTAAGGTGTTTGAAGGTTATAACAGCCAGGCCATTGCCCAGCCATTTTCCATCCATTATCAGATTTCGAAGGCTTTAAGAATTTATTTTTGGTGAGATTTTCAGATTGGCGACTTTCGGAATTTAATATTTTTCAGATCTTAAGATGTCAAGACTTCAAAATTTCAAGATTAAGAGTTTAAGGAATTTAGAATATAGCCCGGATTGAAGGAATTTTCCTATATTTTACTTGTTTATGAATTTAAGATTTTCAGATTGCAATAGTTCGAGATTTAAAGAATTTAAGTGTTTGAAGCTTTTAAGATTCTGAGATTTTAAGAGTTTGGGAATTTAGGAATTTCAAATTTTAAGATTTTAACATCTGAAGATTCAAAGACATGAGGGTTTCTGTCACTTCCCTTTCCTGTAAGTCCGATGAGTAGATGTTAAGATTTTAAAATTCTAAAAACTTTGAGAGTCTAAGGGTGAAGACTTTCGGAATTGAAGGTTTCAATGGTTTAAGAATTAAGGTTCTAAGATTCGAAGGTTTAAGGTTTTTGAAGGTTATAACAGCCAGGCCATTGCCCAGCCATTTTCCATCCATTATCAGATTTCGAAGGCTTTAAGATTTTATTTTTGGTGAGATTTTCAGATTTGGCGACTTTCGGAATTTAAGATTTTAAGATCTTAAGATGTCAAGACTTCAAAATTTCAAGATTAAGAGTTTAAGGAATTTAGAATATAGCCCGGATTGAAGGAATTTTCCTATATTTTACTTGTTTATGAATTTAAGATTTTCAGATTGCAATAGTTCGTGATTTAAAGAATTTAAGGTTTTGAAGCTTTTAAGATTCTGAGATTTTAAGATTTTGGGAATTTCGGAATTTCATATTTTAAGATTTTAACATCTGAAGATTCAACGACATGAGGGTTTTAAGAAGTCAAGATTCGAAGACTTGAGGATGTTTATATTTTCAGGTTGCAAGATTCTATCTTCTAAGGTTGTAATTTTAAGATCTTAAGGTTTCAAGATTTCAAAAATTCAAGATTAAGAGTTTAAGGAAGTTAAAATATAGCCGGGGTTGAAGGAAGGTAATATTTTAATAATTTAAGGTTTTCAGATTTCAATTGTTCGAGGCTTAAAGAATTTAAGTTTTTAAAGCTTTTCAAGATTCTGAGATTTTAAGATTGTAAGACTTTAGGAATTTCATATTTTAAGAGTTTAAGATCTCAAGATTCTAAGACATAAGGTTTTTAAGGTTTCAAGATTCGAAGACTTTAGGAAGTTTTTATATTTTCAGATTTTAAGATTCTAAGTTCTAAGATTTTAAGATCTTGAGATTCTAAGATTGATTGTTAGATTTTCATTTAAGATTTTAAGAATCTAAGACTTTAGGATTTTGAGATTTCAATCCAGGCCATTTTCCATCCATTTTCCATCCACTTTAGATTTTAAGATTTTCAGGTTGCACGTTTTCGGCAAAATTGGCCCGACTTGGGGGACAACATCCCCGCATCGCCAGCATGCATAACATCATCCGCATCATCCGGGATGATGCTGGCAATGCTGGGGGTGTTGTCCAGTATTAGGCACCCCCTAAAAATGCTCGTTTTTGGACTCGTTTTTGGGCCCTGCGGGGAGATGCTACAAAAATCCACGAAAATCGCCTAAACCAATCCGCGAATCCTTCGCCCCTTATAAGGGCAGGCCCAGCACAAAACGTATGCGCATGGTCCGCGCATGGTCGGCGCATGTTCTGCGCATGGTCGGCGGCATGGGGCGCACAGCCTTATACCTGAAGGTAAGCCCTACCGGGCTTTGGCCTGCGGCCCGATCACGTCCGGTGGCCGGATTTACACGCTGACGCGACACAGCCGGCCACCGGGCACCTTGCCCTGCCCGTTCTGTCACTTCCCTTTCCTGTAAGTCCGATGAGTAGATGTTAAGATCTTAAAATTCTAAAAACTTTGAGATTCTAAGGGTCTCAGATTTGAAGACTTTCGGAATTTAAGGTTTCAATGGTTGAAGAATTAAGGTTTAAGATTCAAAGATTTAAGGCTTTTGAAGGTTATAACAGCCAGGCCATTGCCCAGCCATTTTCCATCCAAGGCTTTAAGATTGTATTTTTTGTGAGATTTTCAGATTTGGCGACTTTCGGAATTTAAGATGTTAAGATCTTAAGATGTCAAGACTTCAAAATTTGAAGATTAAGAGGTTAAGGAATTTAGAATATTACCCGGATTGAAGGAATTTTATTATATTTTACTTGTTATGAATTTTAAGATTTTCAGATTGCAATAGTTCGACATTTAAAGAATTTAAGTTTTTGAAGCTTTTAAGATTCTGAGATTTTAAGATTTTGAGAATTTAGGAGTTTCATATTGTAAGATTTTAACATCTGAAGATTCAAAGACATGAGGGTTTCTGTCACTTCCCTTTCCTGTAAGTCCGATGAGTAGATGTTAAGATTTCCAAATTCTAAAAACTTTGAGATTCTAAGGGTCTCAGATTTGAAGACTTTCGGAATTGAAGGATTCAATGGTTGAAGAATTAAGGTTTTAAGATTCGAAGATTTAAGGCTTTTGAAAGTTATAACAGCCAGACCGTTGCCCAGCCATTTACCATCCATTATCAGATTTCGAAGGCTTTAAGATTTGATTTTTTATGAGATTTTCAGATTTGGTGACTTTCGGAATTTAAGATTTTAAGATCTTAAGATGTCAAGACTTCAAAATTTCAAGTTTAAGAGTTTAAGGAATTTAGAATATAGCCCGGATTGAAGGAATTTTATAATATTTTACTTGTTTATGAATTTAAGATTTTCAGATTGCAATAGTTCGAGATTTAAAGAATTTAAGTTTTTGAAGCTTTTAAGATTCTGAGATTTTAAGATTTTGAGAATTTAGGAATTTCATATTTTAAGATTTTAACACCTGAAGATTCAAAGACATGAGGGTTTCTGTCACTTCCCTTTCCTGTAAGTCCGATGAGTAGATGTTAAGATTTCAAAAGTCTAAAAACTTTGAGATTCGAAGGGTCTCAGATTTGAAGACTTTCGGAATTTAAGGTTTCAATGGTTTAAGAATTAAGGTTCTAAGATTTCATATTTAAGAGTTTAAGATCTCAAGATTCTAAGACATAAGGTTTTTAAGATTCCCAGATTCGAAGACTTTAGGAAGTTTTTATATTTCTAGATTTTAAGATTCTAAGTTCTATCATTTTAAGATCTTGAGATTCTAAGATTGATTGTTAGATTTTAATTTAAGATTAAGGATCTAAGACTTTAGGATTTTGAGATTTCAATCCAGGCCATTTTCGATCCATTTCCATCCACTTTAGATTTTAAGATTTTCAGGTTGCACGTTTTCAGCAAAATTGGCCCGACTTAGGGGACAACATCCCCAGCATCACCCGCATCGCCAGCATGCATAACATCATCCGCATCATCCGGGATGATGCTGGCAATGCTGGTGGTGTTGTCCAGTATTAGGCACCCCCTAAAAATGCTCGTTTTTACGCGCTGCGGGGAGATCCTACAAAAATCGCATAAACCAATCCGCGAATCCTTCGCCCCTTATAAGGAAGGCCCAGCCCAAAACGTACCCGCAACGTACCCGCATGGTCGGCGGCATGGGGCGCGCGGCCTTATACCTGAAGGTAAGCCCTAACGGGCTTTGGCCTGCGGCCCGATCACGTCCGGTGGCCGGATTTACACGCTGACGCGACACAGCCAGCCACCGGGCACCTTGCCTTGCCCGTTCTGTCACTTCCCTTTCCGGGAAGTCCGATGAGTAGATGTTAAGATTTAAAAATTCTAAACACTTTGAGATTCTAAGGGTCTCAGATTTGAAGACTTTTGGAATTTAAGGCTTCAATGGTTTAAGAATTAAGATTTTAAGATTCAAAGACTTAAGGTGTTTGAAAGTTATAACAGCCAGGCCATTGCCCAGCCATTTTCCATCCATTATCAGATTTCGAAGGCTTTAAGATTTTATTTTTGGTGAGATTGTCAGATTTG